GGCTCGTAGTTGAAAAAAAATCTTTGGAAAAAGGGTATGTAAAATCACCTTTTGCCATCATAATTGTTAGTTCCCTCCTGACAACATGAAGAAATGCATATTATCGAGTTTACAAGCTGCCCCGTGACGATCTGCCGACTAAACTGAATGGAGAAGCCCACCCAAAACTCACTGGATCCTTGAGCCCTTTCATGTCCTGAGTAAAAATCAAATTAGAGCGATCAAGTCTGCAATACAACCTTGGTAGCTTGTGCCAATTTTCCACTCACCAGAAATTAACGGCGCATCACTATCTCTAGGAGACTTGAAAGGGTTTTTATTATAGTATCAAGCATTGCAGGCTGCTTTGATTGGTATAACCTACCTCACGCGGGGAAAGATATTGATGGGGCTGATGTCGTTAGCTGACGATTAATGAGTGCAAGGACGCCTCGTTTGCCATCCTGGCAATGAGACTGCGATGTTTGTACCGTGCTGAAGGTTTAAAGCCAGTGTTGGCTGCAATTTTTTTGTTAAAACCTTTCTCGGCAGAGAAAAAAGAACAGCTTGTTCTGGTTAAGACACTGCGTTCGATGAGGAAGGTCTATTGCGCAAGAAAGCGAATCTGCCAAATTTCGCCGGGGGGGCGCAGATATTACAGTGAAATTCAAGGTGGAAATACCGTTCGCACAAAGTAGGATGCAATGCAACGTTTCTATAACATTTTGTCCAAGGTGCCGACCCAGGACTTTTGAAAATGTCACTAAAAGCAAGTACAGTATTTCCTGCGTGCTGCGCATAAAAATTACCGTTGTCACGTGTTCTAAATAGAGTGAAGAGACAGATAAGACAGATTCATCACAAAGTCACGTTCAGCGCATCGCAAGGCCAATACGTGTTCCCTAGCGATTGGTATGAACAAGCTTAGCGCTAGTCTCCGCATCCGACGGGAACATACATTATTTATTACGTTTATGCACTTTGCAGTTGCCCCTTTAAAATTAACCTGTCGTTGTATGTGTGCTCGTTAATGTGAACTGTAAGTTCCTATGCCTTGCGCTCCAATATGATGCACGTTTGCCGAGACATGAAAAAGCTCTAGTAGGCCCCTATGTCTGAAAACGGTTTTACAGACACACCTATCGGTCCGATAAACTTTACCAACGGTTTATGTTCCACACTGTTTATGCAAAACAAACTAAAACAAGAGAAACGAAATTAAGAGAAAACAAAGCAATTTAAAAAATTACGTCTTTGATTACTTTGATAACGATTCAGTTTTTTCTTTTCAACATAAAAGAGGTCAGAAATTATTCACTACAGACAAAGATACCGTAAAAACCAGTAGGTGAAAATGCGCATATATATATATATATATGTATATGTTATGTCATCTATCAATAGCACAGCCCAAATGCGACGTTTCAAGTAGGCCTACATTCACCGGCAAAATTCTGTTTAGGATTCTTGTCATCAGAAATGATGATTTTTCCCCCATGCTGCGAAAAAAAGTAAAATTGACCCCTCCCATTGTTAAAGGGAAGCTGCAATTGATTTGTTTTAATTCAGACTTTCAAAGTGCACCTGCGCTTTTCGGTTAACTTATTTTTCACCTTTCAAAGGGTATTTTACTGCTTTTTTATTTTTGTGCTATATGTCATATTCATCAAAACTGTGTCTTCCCTTGATGACTTATCAACAACAGCACCCTCAGTTGTCCAAGAACTCATGGATAATTTCAATACAGGCGATTCTTAATGGTGCACCTCCAAGAGTTTGCAACGCGTTGGCCAATCACAACGCGCGAAATCTGTCGACCCTTTCCAAATAGGTCGACAATTGGGTTGAGAGATTTTGCACATTGTGATTGGCCAATGCGTTGCAAACTCCCGGAGACGCACTATTGTGAAACGCCTGAATTGTTTTAAAAATGGCACTTTTCAATGCATTTAACCAAATAGGAAAGATTTTCATAGATTGAAGAAGAATACAAAGTTGAAAAGAAAAAAATTGTGTCTCAGAAAAAAATCACTGCAGCTAAACTCTAACAGTTTATCAGTTATAGTTGATAAGTGTCCCCCCCCCCGGAAAAAAATCCTGGAGAAGCCCGTGGACAGGGGTGGTGGCGATGCTAGAAGCTGAAATACGGTATGGATGCTTGAACACGTTTCCTGGAATGTGTTGAAGCAGCTAGTGCGCAACTGGTTAAAAAGATCACTTGACTCTGACATTTTTAAATCATCTTGTTCTTTGGGTTTTTTATTCAGTGAGGAGAAGCAAAGGGGAATTTTCCCCACTCTAGGAGGTAGGTTGTCCTTTTCTCTCAACCATTTTACCATAAAACCAAAAACTACATCTATCAGTCTTCCGTGATGAGATTGCAAAAATGTAGCATTTTAATAAGATTCCCATGGGATCCTCCGAAATAAACAAACACTGAGCTATTCCGGAAAAAAAAATCGAGGAGTGTCTTGCAAATGTGAATTTATATTATGTTGATGAACTTTTCATCATTTAGAACAGACATGTACGATATGTTAAGATACACCCTCCATGCTTAAGGAAAATTGTATATTTACGAAATGCACAGCATGAACTAACTGTTTCATATGTGTTTCTCAATTTGTTACAGGGTATGTTAGACTTCAGCCTGCAGACAGTCTTTTTATTGCAAGTGAAGTTAATTGATGTCTGACGTGAGTCATCTTTATAGTCTCTTTAGACAAATTAACATTAAAAAATCGCTTGTTTGCTTCACCATAGGGCTATGTGGCTTTCCGAGTTGGTTCGTTAATTCTGGCCACGTTTATGAAATTTTCAATGCCCCATTGCAACAGACGCTTTGCTATATCACCATGACAACATGACCTTCGAAGGACATCCGCTCTGTAATCATTAGAATGATATGATAATAACGTGATAATTATTAAATGTTTTTTGCTTCTTTGCATGCGTCACTGATCCATCAGTGTAGGTCCCTCGGGAAATAATTCAAAATTCGTCCTCCGTCGATGCCGTCAGCCCTGACTTGGTAGTTGGCCTGTTAACGCTTCAATGCACGACTAATGGCTCGGCAAGCTTGGCGCTGGAACCAGGCTGTGTTGATACTGCCGCACCCAAGGTTGCCTGATTAGCAAGGCTGAGTTAACGGCGGAATTCCACAATGCAGGTAAACTTGAAGGCTGACCATTATTTTTTGCCATTCTTGTGTATAGCCGAAAACACCCCCCCCCCATTTTCCTCAGATTCTATTCATGAGTGTCGCAGGGTTCGCACGTGGGTACTTGTCAGCCGAAAAAAAAATACATATATAAAGGAATTATGAGGAACAGAAAGCAGGGAGAACAACGAAATATGAGCAAAGGGAGTAAAAATAACAATTTGCTTGAAAATAGCTCGAAATTTATCCTCTTCAGCTGTTAATGGTTTATCAGTTTGCTGCTGGTGAGTCCTCCCCCCCCGGAAAAAATTTTTGGCGATGTCCATGATACTGGGAAGCAGCTTCAGGGACAATTAACACGGACGACGAGTCCCTCGCCATACGTAACAACAAAAACAACAGGAACAGCAAATAACTGAAACAACCACTAACAAGAAAGAAAGAAAAAAAAAAAAGAATCGGAGAGACAGCGGGAATAGCATCAACTGCAGCAACAGTAGCGTAAGACCAACTCCCCAAGAACAGCAAGCCAACACAGCAAGAGCAGCACCAATAATGGAATCGAACAATCCCGCCTTTGTTGGAACCTTTACTGTTTTTGTCAGGTGGGAACAACCGCTCGCATCGGGAATGATGGAGTTTCAAATAGAGGGCGCTGTAACAATTTCATCTATGTGCCACTGTGGGGACGGTACGGTCTGCGTTTCTTCATGCTGAAGGGCCAGTTACAACGGGGCCAATAGATGGGCGTTTTACATTTATAACAGTCTTACAGTTCAGTTCTTCATTTTTTGAAAACAGCGGTGGTGGTGAATGGCGGAGAGGGAGGCCACGCCCACGCACGAGGTCTGTACCCTCCTGCGCCCCTGCTCAAAACTTGCATACTCTCGAAGGCGAAGGAAACAAAATGTGCTGTTTCAATCATTTTTAATCCCAGTTTATTTCAACGCCACTGGTCAAGATTTGTCAAAAAAATCGCCTACACGTGTAATAAGGAAGCCCAGAGAAAACCACGAGGATCTTAGCATTGATTTGGGGGAAACCCTGAAATCAGGAAACGGACTGCATGAAACCCGACGGGGATGTTGGCCCAGAGCCAGGCGGGTGGAAACCGAGATAAATACCGCTGTATGCCTAATCTCCGTATCTCTGAGAAACACCGAGCAAAGGTCCACCCTACCACCTGTTGGCTAGAAGGAAGTTGCTGGTGATTTATAAAGAATGTACTCATGTGAGACATTTTTCGAAGCAGATGACCAGATTTCCAATGCCACTCTGGTGGCTTGGTAACATCAAGACTAGAAACCACGATCTTTGATTCTGATACCAAACAAAACTTTAAACGTGTTCATCGTTTGATTAAAGGACTCACCAGGTACAGATTTGGCAGGGAACAGCTGCTGTAAGCAGTCTTTAGAAGTTCAGACATCCAAGCCAGGTAACCAGACGAATGACAATGGTTGTTCTAAGACTCGACCGAACAAAATATCTAGCAACTAATTTGTTATATCTTTGAAAGCTTATTTAGTTAATCATTGACGCAGTATAGCAATGTACTGTGTTTTCTTCTTGATCTTTTGCGAAAACACCAGCGCGCTTGTTCGATTGGTCACCGGATGGCAGTGTGCTGCCACCAAGCGTTCGGTTCTCTCTAAGGGCCATGTTGGATCAGCAGCCATGTATCAGCCACTGGTTGATTTTCCAGGGTACCCAGAATTAGTTGTATGCATAGGTTGCCAGACTGAATCAGCCAGCAGGTGACAATTCGTCGATGATCGAACTCAGCTCGGTTCCCTTTTTTTTTCAGCGAACACTTCAAAGTTACGCTTTAATATGACAATGACACACTCATCATACACTATAATTGTACATATTCACGATATCGCTGTGTATTTATTGCTCTTGCTGTGACTAGAGGGAGCTAGAACGTTTATCCAAACAGAAACATTTTCAGCGACAGTCAGACACTCTTTCGTTTGAATATACATGTACATAACACAGTTGTACCTTTGTCTGTATAGAATGAAACATTTTGAAAACAAAAGATGCACCAAAATCAGTAGTTTTTAATTCAAATTAAATTTGTAGTCACAGAGTTTCGAGCATTTGGAGGTCTATAAAAACTACGTACATCAATATTTTCACACACTAGGGAACGAGGTTATCAATAAATACAATAAAATGATTAATCTCTATATGTTACAGTAGAGTACATATACATAATACTAACAGTTATTGCACATATGTTTGGTGTATTAACACGACAGTATATTCCCTGTTACAAGGGCAGGTGAGGAGGCTATACTGGCCTAACATTTTCACACACGAACCAACGTTTCTTTCATTCTTAGTCGAAATACAATACGCTAACTTAAAAGTTTGCGCAAAGTAAACTTTTTTTTGAGTAAACAGAAATAAGAAATGTTGCCTAAAGCTAAGATATTGTCTCACAAGTATAACTTGAAAAAAAAGATCACACTTTTACCCACGCCATTTTTTGGCTCAGCAGAATGACTAAGCAGAGACATTTAATTGCCGAGTGTATTTCCTTACAATAATCATCCTAATGTTAGATATAATATTTCTTATAGCGGCACTTTTCTCAAAAGTCTGCATAGGAGACCAGACTGGGACGATATTCAAGGTCAGTAATTCAAGGTTCGTGATCTGGTCGTAAATAACAGCACAGAGGACGTCAGGGTAGGCCCACCACTTTTGCAAGATAGATATTCTCTACTCATTCAATCGAAAAAAACTCTAGCAGACACGAACACGGGTTCTCCTAGCATGGAATGAAACAAAATGTCTGCACCAAAGTACATGTATAATGTAAGTTGGAACAGCTTGGCGGTTGTGCTTGACTAAATTGCGCGCCTCCATTTTAAACCGAACAGTGCTTCACAGGGAATCGGTGCAGTGGTCACAATACGTTTCCGAAACTTTAAGCTCACACAAAATATCCCCAGTTTCATGCTCAGAGCCTTATTACCAACTGAACCGAACATAAGCAGCCTGAACAAAATGTAAGACACAAGCACACCCAGTGACAGTTACTCTACTGATTTGTACCCGGACCGGTCGTTGATGGCGCCCATCTTACGGCCTACCGCGTAGATAATGAGGACGACCAGAATCAGGCAGGCAAGGGTAGCTCCGACTGCGACGGAGGCTACGTTGCTGTTAGGGTTCTCGAGAAGATCCTCGCCACAATCGACGCCTACAAACAAGACAAAGTTTTGAATGACGTGTAGACTGCAGATAACGGGTAAATACCAGTGGTTAAACATAGACTCACGATACGATTATCAAAGCAACAAATCAAAGGGCCTGCTTAAAATATTAAGACCCAACTACGGTTTTTACATGTGAATCAAAGACTCCAACTTTTGGTAAGAACACATTTAAGAAATTGAGTTTTGAAACCGCCAGGCATGGGTCACCCTCGTTGCAGCACGGTGTCCCTGGCTAATTTGTTTAACAACAGGCAAAACGGACGTTCCACCACACGTCCACTGCTTTAAAAAGTTAATTCATTGAGAAATGCAAGTGGTCTGTGAGTTGCTCGACCCTCAACTTGAAGATTTCACGAAACCTTGCACCGGAAAAATACAGGACAAAGATATGTCATTCGGACATTTCAGTTCTACAGGGATTTGAAGGGGTAACAGTTTGACTTTGGGGAAATTAAACGAATTGTCGGCAATGAACCTGAAAACATACATTTACCATGTATCAAACAAAATATCAAGTTATTGAGGCCATGCTAGAGAGAAGTTGACAATTGTTATTTCCGACGAGTTGAATCACGACTGTATAATGGCTTCATTTGAATCTTCAATAAAAGCTTACTTTTTCAAACATTATTAAGGTATTTTAGTGACCAACAGTGTCGCGGTCGAGTAGGTCTACATTTCGAGTACCACATTACTGCCAAATCTTAGACTGGTTAAGCTGGAGCACACGGACATTCGTGGGTGGTTAATGAATAAAAGTAAGGATGCCTTGTGAGACTTCCTACTTTCTCAACTCTGTGAACATTAAGCTTTAGGACAACAGTACTGGAACAGTAAGCAGCGGTAAAGTTTGCAATAGAAATACACTCGACTACTGACCTGACCCAGCTGAGACTACTTTATCAACCGCTCCCTTGAGGACATTTTTAAACCTTACCTTCACCGAATGTGCCGTTCCGCATCCCGTAAGGCTGCAGCTGTAACTGACTAATTTTCAAGGTGACCCTCTCTGTCGTGTTGGTGGAGGACAGCATGGTGATGTCATCCTCAGCATCGCAGATGCGTGAGTTGCCCTGTGGGGTGGCAAAGAACGTTGCCCCCGGGCTGGTGCGGACTGTCCTTACGCCAGCTGCGAGTAAGTCACATGACATTGATTGGCTGAAACAACGAACCACAACCTTCACCACAGGGATCAATTGGAATGTGGCATCAACCTTTTCCAAACGGCAGTGCGAAAGAATCTGACGAGAAATATCACCACATTATGTATATCGGGGTTTATTTCTGCAGTGTACAAATCCACCTGTGGAACGTTTCAACAGTTGAATGTACCTTCCCATACGTTGTCATATTCTACCACTCACCATCAACAGCATTGTCGAAGTAATAGCCGTCTCGGGTGTCGAAGGTAAACTGGATTTTACGAGCTTCCCAGAAGTTAGGATCACCCTTGACGGTGGAGTTTTTCTGATTTCAAGTAAACGAAGAAACCATTAAGTCATTTGTATTAGTTGGCCGGTAAATTTTATGGAATTTCTCCAAAACTGTAAAGATTTCAAGTAAATTTGCAGAAATTACCGGCAATATCCCATAAAATGGACGATCATCGTGACTACATATTTACAGGGTAAACTAACACATTTGTATCGGAAACCATTAGCTTGCCCTTCGACTTGCCGTACATTTTACGCGGGAAATCGTTGGTACCCATGGCTGCCTAGGTAATGTGCCGTCAAGTTACGGTAATCGTTTTTTTTTACTGTGTACAATTAATGCAAATGAACATTCTGCAAATAAAAGTCGGCACATAGAGGAAAGACATTCTTGCGAACGAACAGGAACGAACGGAGCTACAGGGATTAATGGAGGAGAAAACCAGACCAAAATAGATACCAATTTGAAAGTGTAGAGAAACTGAAAAAAAAGTGACAAAAATTACCTTCTGGAAGGTGATTTTCAAGTCATACATGCCCTCATCCCACTCTAGCTGGAGGGTTGACTGTTCGTCGGGACCGCGATTGCAGAATCCACCCACATCCGCTTTCTCGGGGACTCTTATCTCAGCCGTCTGGTTCACCATCTTCATGAACAATTCATGCATGAAAAAAATTCTCTCAGAATCATGAAGCCACGGTTCATGCATAAAGTGAGAAGTTTGTATATAATCCAATCTCCCATTTAGTGAAAATGTCGAGAAAGTTCATTCAAAGCCGTAGGCCATATATACTCCATGTACGTGCAGAATGCTTGATATTGCTAGATGTATGGGCCTACAGTTGCTTGCTCTATGCATGAATCCAGCAAGGGGGATAGGTTTGATGTACTGGCTCTTCCCTTGCTGGGGGGTGTCCTTTGGAGTATAAGACAATTATATTTGATTTTTATAGCCTCTGGCCTACTGCCTGCAAAGTCAAGTAGTCCGCGTTATTTCATGTCCTTTACTGAGGGCTATCATATTGGTTATATTCATTACCATACAATAGCACTTATTTTCATAATTTCAGTGGTAGTCCAACACAGTTCATGACCGTAAATGTATATTTGTTACGGGTTTCACAGATTCCAGCCTCCGAGAATGGGGATTGTCTGCACCTCCCGGTGCCCTGCATATCATGTCTGTGCCAAGCAGCTTCCCGATATATCCAGGCAAATAGGAATTTTACTCTCGGACTGAAAAGAACTTGCGCGGACATTTACGGTGGTTTTCAGGAGAGAGATTGGGTCAACTCGACCAAATACAATTAGCAGTAAAACAAAACATTAGTAAAGAAACAATGCTGTTTTACATTTTGAGAATATTCTGTAAATAGAACATATGATAAGATGGTTTTTCTGTGCATTTGTGCCACAAAAGGCGACATAACTATTTAAACATTTGAAAGATCGAGGAAGATAAATATCAAAGCACTTTAAGCGGCTGAAATAAGTTGCGCAAATCTTGATGCTTTTTTGTGTGTTTTCCATCCTCATTCCAGCGTATTATTTGCATATCAGATCCTATTTTTACAAAGCACGATAGACTACTGAGGTGGTATATAGCGTTGATGACGTCAGACATTAGAACCATTGCCTCCATCTTGAAGTTAATTTCTCATACTTGATTGACACAGTAAGAGCAGATCCAGGACCTAATTTGGGGAGGGGTGTGTAAACTTGTATACTGGATGGATAAAACAAATCTGGATTTTTTTTCCATGTAATTTGTTGTGGCCTCTCTGAGGGTTGAGGCTACATTAATTGGGGGCTTTTTACGCTTATGAAAAAAAGGGAAATGAAATAGACACCGAAAGAAACTTTCTCTCAATATTTTCTCCATCAAATTTTGGTTCCATTTCTTTCAGGGGCCATGGACCCCGTTTGCCGTGAGACACATTACCTCCCCGTCTTCATCTTCGCCAGTGTAATCTACTTTTAACACCGCTGCGAAGCATGCCCTCAAGCAGACGGTATCGTCGCCATTGTAGTAGACGACGAAGTCGCCCACTTCCTGTGGTGACTGTTCAGTCGGCTCCTCTGGTTCTGGCGTCGGAGCGGAATTCACCTTGGCAATCTATGAGCAAAAAGCAAATAAGGCAAAAACAGTCGATTTTTAGCTTCTCCTTGCCCGTACATTTCAGAATTCAAAACCTGAGAAAACAGAAGGAATTTGGATCTTAACTACATCAAATTCGAGTCAACCAATTGCATATACTACTTTCGCATTTTGTTTGCGGGAATGAGAGTTTCCTAATATAATGTAGATTTATCAAAACTGCTTCATGTAGACTCCTTTACTGATAAGATATACGCATTATTTCCCCCGAATTGTGTAAATGATTGGAATTTATTGATAAAATGACAACTGTCAAAAAGAAAATGAGATGGAATCTATCAAGAAAAATGAACAGGAAAGCGGCTAATCAATCAAGGCACCTTCATCGAGCCTGTTTGTTTGTTCCAACCGGATCTCGATTAGTGATTCCGACGTTGGTTCGCTCCATCCATTCAGTGTCAGTGAACCAACGATGGATCACGGGTCGCAACCTGGATCCGCGGGAAACAAACAGGCCAATGAAGTGCGCACACGTCAAGCACAAACAAAGGTGCACTTTGACCCAGATTATGGTTCAAACTTCCATGTAATGAGGACTGTGGAAATGACATCATGCATCCTTCTGAAACTACCCCACTCAAGTGCATCCTTAGACATTTCGTTTGTTTATAAACATTGTGACGCCAGTCGTTTTGTATGAACAGCCAAACTTTGAAAAAGAGTCACCCTTGGTTAGCGACTAGCTAAAGTGACAGACATTTCCATTTTAGTAATCAGTGAAAAAGGATTTATATAGTTTTAATATTTGCGTGATTTTTTTTTGCACATTGTGGATTACAACTATTGGAGAGAGGACTGTATTCAAGACCCAGCTAGAGTTTCCCAACTACTGGTTGTCAGAAACTACACCTGTGACGTATAGCAAATGAAAGGCCCATGTGATCACGAGCCTAGATTTGTCCATTATGCCTACCTCTGTTTCTACCAATGGCATTTCTGTTGTGGGGCCTATCCCTCCCTCCTCCTCCTCCTCCTGTGGGGCCTCGCTCTGGTCATTCACAGCCTCGCTTTCCACTTGGTCTGGTTCCACGGTGCCTGGAACCTCCTCCTCTGTCAACTTGCTCCCCCACTCTCCGTCCTCATCCACCTGGGACGGCAGACTCCCACCGGTGTCCGGCGATTGGTCGGTCGCCCAGGCGTCCGCTGCTGACTGCTGTGCCGGTGGTAGGTGAGACATCTCGTCCTCGCAGACACATAACCCTGGGAATGAGGAAGGACATGGAAAAAGTCAGGAGGCCCTTGCTTCTTTCGTTGCTTTCTACCAAATGCGTGAGCACAAGACGATGCCACTTGAACGCCTTAGTTGAACCCATGGACGTAAAATCCAGGGGGTGGGGTACATGTCCCCCCATTTTTGGACCGGGGGGATGGGCTATCCAATTACCCCCCCCCCCGTACACACAACACACACTTTTTCCAACAACCAAAATATATTCAATAGCACTCAACATTCGAAGAAACAAATTTTAAGCATAGATATACCATTCTGATGTAAGATTCTACAGGAATGTAATACATGTACATGTTACCGTTGTACATCTGTATCATGAACATCCCCCTATATAGTGTCATACGGTGTCCACATTACCCTCCCCACTTTCTTTTTCCATGGCCAGGCAAGTCATCCCCCACAATTCCGTGTCCCCCATCCCAAATTTTGGGGCAAATTTGCGGCACTGGTCGAACCATTTTGAGAAATGTCATTTGTTGCATCTTTCGCCTTGTTTGAGGGCTGAATTAGTTTCATGTCACTGGTCCCCTGTTCACATAACTATTAAAAAGGCTATGCAATATAACTGTACCCCTCGGTCAAGTACTGGTCCAACTAGTCTTTCTTCGAGTGACATTGATTAGAATGGTAAATAATCGACCCGTTTACACGAGGAAACAGTACAATCTATAAGGGGAATCAACCGATGCAAAAGGTTCACTGGAAAATGTTTCCATCTTATGAGCGGCAAATTTAGATGGTTTCCAGAGGTTTCGTTTTTGTCGAATGTCGATACATTTCTGGCAGTGGCAATCTTTACCAGCATAATAAAGCCTTGACAGGAGATAGAACGCTGGATTAAACCAGCAGAGTAACCGGGATTCATGTCAGTGGCAAAATAGCGATTAAAAATGTTTGTTCATAATTACCGTCCCAAGAAAGGCAGTGGTATACCGTTCGTAAAGTTTAAGCGCTTTCAATTAAAAAGGCAACATGTCTCCGAGGGGCAATGTGTCCCCTCCCCGGATACGCCCCTGGCGTTGTCTTAATACAGCACTTGTAGACCTGCGGCAGGCGTGTTTAATATGATATTAATGTTTCATTTCCACAACAGTTAACGCGTGTGGCCGTGTAGCAAGACTGACGGTACGTATGGCATCCTTGCGAATTCACAAGACAGAATGGACTGCATGTGCGAAAGAATTGGTGGCTTGTATGTAAATTGAGCATTATGCAGAAGAGTGCAAATATTCCTTGAAGCACGCAACGTTCGTTCAAGTTTCCGGATACATAATTCAGCGATTAATGAAAAATGCAATCAGATTAAACTCTCTGATCCAATGTCTCAAAACGTAGCATGCCTACTCACAGAAACTGTCCGGTCCCCTTTGACTAGGCCTATGTGAACAGGATTGGTTAAAAAAAAAGAGAGAGAAATTTGTGATTGCACCCGCTGGGTCCCGACTCAATGGAGCCTTTCTATCACACAGGATGAAAGAAAAAAAATGTAACTGACACATTTTCGAACTGCATCATTTCAAATGATACAGACAGCTCGCAGACGAATTGGAGACAAGCCACCAATAAATTGGCGGTCTTCGTCAGCCAGCTGAGCTAACGTCGGCCTGATGCGCTCAAGGGCTGTCGCCTGTCAGCAGGCAAGACGAATGTGCCTCCTCAAGACAAATGTGATGACTCTCATTCAAAAGGAACTCGACGTGCAATGGCTTGATTTGCGTCACATTGAGAAGCAACGGTCATCGCTGAGGAAACATCTACGGCCAGTGGTTATACACCCATGTACACATCGCAGCTTCATCGTACGCTTATGCCTTTTGTTTGCCGAGGGCCAAAAGGCACGTGAACAAAATTCCTGCCTTTTTGGAGCGTACCACAGCAAACTCATGCCCTTTTACTGCAGTTGCGCTGTCCTCAAAAACTCTTTCGTAACCGTGCATGCTTTCTCACATCATCAGTGCTGTCACTAAACATGCCCAGAGTTTACAGTGCAGCGATGAAACTTCACAGGACCTACAAAATTGTAGATGGCTAGGAAGGAACGTATGTCTTTCCAAAAGGAGGAAAAGCACTCAACAGTAGCAGATTGAACCAATTAACAGAAACAGGAGGGGTGGCGATTCCGAAGCCTTTTCGAGGACACTGGCGAATTTCATACCCCTTCCTCTTCTATAATATAAAGCGCTTTGATCGTAGTTAAAAGCGCTCTATAAAATCCGTTGTTGTTATTATTTTCTTTCCCTTTTTCCTCCTCCCTATTCTTTTTTATATTTTCCCACTTCCCCACCCCCTTGCGGCGCTCGTGGGCCAACACATTGTCGTCAGCGAGACAGTCGTTAATCTGGCAATGTCAGTGACCAACGTGAACTCTGACATTGTTCCAAGCCTTCAGAAAGAAGCTGACATTTTGGCAGACTGATCTACGTAGGAAATACAAATTTTACGAAAGAATTCCTCTTTTGCATTTGCTCACTATTTGTTGACCTTTCCTGTTTGTTTTAAAAACACTCCATGGGCTCAAATTTTTTTTTTGGACGTGGGTGTGAAAATTCTAAAAAGGGAAGTTAAAATGCCTGCATTTGAAAAACTGCATTTGTAATTATCAGTGTTTTCCGCTTCAAAACCATTTCCGTTGTGGACTTGAATTTAAATTTTAAATAATGGTTTCACTTTTTTCTGTTAGTTTTAATTTCCTTCACTAAGCCTTCCCTCGTCTTAGGGGTGGCTTTCCTCCCCTACTCTTTACGCTACTGCACGTATGTAACCCCTCCATAAATACGGTCGCTCGGCTGGGTAGAACCTTTGCATAAGAAATATTCAAAGCTCTAAACAGTTGGATCCTTGAGATTTTGAGGATAACACGCCCTATTAGAAATTATCATTTCCTGCTTATTAAATCCGGCTGATCGCCCCATTAATTCGGTTCATCCCTATAATGGTTTTATGTTTGTACAAGGCATTCAGAAGTAAGGGTCGTCTGCAAAGGATGACGGGTTAATTAGCAATAGACTTATTTGCTTCACCTGGGAGGTCAAATATGAAAACAATATCATCATTTGCAGTTCGTTGTGTGCAGTGTTGGTCGTGATCGTATCAAGCGCCATGCTGATTATCAGCGTACGACACGGGAGAATGATTTATACGATTGAATATCGAGTAGTGTGCGTGACTATCCTGAAACTAACGTACCGTCAGTGTTATAAAGATGATGCCAATTTTGTTGTCAGAAATTAGTCTTGATTGAGAAAGTTTCTTATTGCATTAGTATTTTTGTGTTCTTTTGGTATGACAACGTCTGGTATTGCTTCTTTAAGTCTGTACTTTGAAGTCTCAAACCGAGTAGAACTGTGACTCATGATGACAAAGCACAACAGTCCCACATACAGGTACACCCATTTGTACATGCATATACCTGTGGTGCAAAAATTACACTTGTGCTCGGAAATTTCACACAGGTTCTATGATAGCAGTACATTTTAATTGTTTCAAAATATGCTGTATCCCGTGAACCTTTGATGTCCCCATTTCTCGGTGGAGTCTTGTGCATCAAGTAAACAGAAAGTGGATCCTGGAGAAAAGGATCAATTGGGGTTTCCGGCCCACCACATTCCTCCCTGCCCATCCATTTTACCCCCAAATGGTCGAGCGACCATGCAAGGGAGGAAACGAGACAAGCCCCTAAGAAGCCCCTGCCGCCGAGTCCGCTATACGTCTCCAACCTGTACTAAGGCGTTCAACTGCTTTGCGGACGGGAGGCCTACCAGCAGGAGAGCTCACCCGGTCGGCTTAGGTAGTATTGCTATTTTGTGATGGAAAATGTTTTGCTTTATAACAGAGCAACCCAGACCGTTCACTGAAAAATCAAAATGAATACACTGCGATTTGAACCCCAAACACCTATAGATTTTTCAAAAGGCAGCTTAACCACTCGGCCATGTGTGAGAGGTACTTCCGTGTGTTAAGAGTGGCGTTACGTGGACATGTACTCTGCGCAGACGTGATGTGATGACGTCATTTACAGTTGAATGAGCTTTACTTCACTGACAGCAGAATACGTGGCTAAAATGGTACCGCGTGCAACCTATTTATCATGATTTGTGATTAACATTGCAACTCGTGAATCATATTAATGATATCATATCATCAAGCCAAGTAAAGAAACTTCCATTAAATCAACTAATCTTTTCCAGTTCAAAGGAAAAAGGGGGCTCTTTAATTCAATTCCAGTGCACTCGGCAGACTCTTTCTAACAAAGAACAAACGAACGGAAAACGGAAATAAAAAAGAAATGGTGTAGAAACGGCATTAGTGGAAAACATCGAGAGAGCCTTGCAAATTGGATTCTCGCGATGTCTTCATACAACGACCATTCATAATTGCAACACTCTGCCGAGGCAGGTGCGAACAACGCTGACTGGAGTCAATTTATTCTCCCGCAGAAACACGTCTAAATTGGACGAACACGACGTGACGTCAAAACTTGTGTAATTCTCATTCTAAACATACACGCACACTGTTCTCAGTGGCGCATTTGCGACCTAGGCTGCTCGAAAGGCGGATGCAATATTTTGACAATATCCACGGAGGTCTATTGATTCTTATTTAAATTCAAATAATTTCCGGTACAAGTGGGTGCAAAACAGTAGGGCAAAGGTGTAAGAAATCTATGAAAATGATCAACCGCTGTGCTTAAATTAAAGTAAAAATTTAAAATGGCAACATGAAGGATGAGGAAGAAATAAGGCTGGGGGGTTGGAAGAAGCCAGAAAAATGTTTTCTTATTTTTTTATATTATATGACATGTAACTGCTTATATTCCTTGACATATTCTTCAGTTTTTAGTAACAACTGGGGTAATGTTATACAGGCCTCCACTTTCTGAAATGGCACTGATCAAATATTAAATTTGTTTTTAAAATGAACAGTGACCGGCTGAAAATTAAATCAGTTACAGGAGCAAAAATTGATGCTACTTTTCTCTTTCACGTGGAAGCCAAGGTTCCCTGTTTAGACTTCTTCCGGAATTGAATGTCTGAAAATCTCAAAATGGTGTACAACTGAAAAAAAACCTGCGCAGTCGTACAAAGAAACCGCAGTCAAAAGCTTTCACTCTCACTCACTCTGACTACATATAGGCAGACTCGAACATGAAATAATGGAAAGCGCTTTGGTCTTAGTTAAAAGCGCTATATAAAACCTGTTATGTTATTATTATTTTTATTATTTAATGACACGTAATGTTTCGGCCGACCATGCCTTTGGCCATGAACTCCATTCCAATAGCGACAACGAGTGCTTGGCTCTCATATCTGGCTCATAATTAAATCACTTCATATTTGATTGCCTCGGACGAGTATGTTAATCATGCACACGGCAAATCGACGCTACAGAGTCCTGTTTTTTCTCAATACTATTTGAATCAATTGTGGAAAACAGAAATTCCTACATTTTAAAACAAACTTGATCCACGTCGTTGTTTAATCGTCATGAAACGATTGAATATTAATGTGTTGTGGAACAAAATCAAATATTAATCGTAGGTCAACTCTAAAACATATTAGTTCAACACTCCCAACATCAACTGGTATTTTATCGACACAAATTTTTACTGCAGTCTTGAACAAGAACAAATATAAACATGTAATCGCTTTCAAAATATAACGAACCATGAGTTCGAGTCAACCATCCATTTAAACAGCACGCGTCGGTTGACTTTATTCGTCATGCCCACTTGCGTGTGAAGATTCACACAATCTGAATACCATTTGCGACCAATCAGCCAAAACTGACTGGTTCAGAGATGGGCGTCTTACCTGTGCACAACCATAAGACGAGCAGGGAGAGTACTGTGGTCATCGCCATATTCCTCGCTGTTTCTTTCGTCCGTCCGTGCGAGGCCATCTTGTTTCCCCCTTTTTTTTCCAGAAGCAGCGGCGAAACTGCAGCACTCAATGAGATGCAAAGCATATGATATCCCCCTGCTCTCCCCAGTTACTAGCGCACGCGTTACACACACAGGCAAATGGACAACCAAGGAGGAAGTCTATACACCCGTTGTTGTCGTCGCAATGATGTGCGGAGGAGGCGATCGATGATGCAGGAGGTCACGTGATGCAATCAATGAGGAATGCCAAGACGGCGTTGTTTCATTGACGGAGTCTGGCCACCGAGCGGGGCGCGTCGACGGCCCGTCTCTACCATCTTCTTGTGCGGTGATCGATGAGAGCCATTGCGCCTCTATTGCGCCGCCAGGATATGCATACACGGCTCATACATAACGGTCGGTGGAGCAAAAATGAAACACTTCCTTTGGTCATTTATTAACCCCGAGTCGAGTACCTTTCGTATTTTGATGGATTGTTCTTGCTTGCCAACAAGAGCAAAAATACGCCATGTTATTTGCTAATATTATTCATTGTTTATTATTTTACATTCATTTACTTTCTCTATTTTGTCTGTTCATCTATTTTTGAAAATTGCGCAGAGGCTGAGGGAGGAAAGAAAGAGGATTATCCTCGAGTGTGGGCTTTACTTATCGCCACGGTAATTTTGCAGTTCAGATAAATGGTTCATTCAATTAATGATGAGGTCACTGTCAGTGGCATGACGGCAGCCTTTAATGGCCCGAACCCACGAGCTGTGTCAGTACAGGGAGCGATACGAGAAAGGTCCTTCAAACGACGGTAACTCCTCCGCCAGTCCATGATTGGACCGGATGGCCGGTGAAGTGTTGGATTTGGCGGGCCTGTTGAATCGTAATGAAGGGGCCACACTTGAAAGACGGGTGCCTCGCGGGATATCGACATGCATTCGAATTAATCAGTGCGCCATGGAGGATAGCGTTCGTCGGTGACCGATTGCCCATCGTTCGGTCGCTGCATTGACCATAATGGCAGAAACGCTACTATAGGGTCAATGTCAGTCAATTTCCTTCTTGCCCAAGGGTGTAAAAAGCCCCCAAGTTAGCCTTAGACACTAAAGAAAAGCCATGAAAGATTACATTAAGAAATTCCGACCCCCCCCCAAAAAAAATAGCGCCCAAACACTCTGTTCCTGGATCCGCCCTGTAGTCAATGACGGCAACGTCAATTAAAGTATCGGCACCTAATTTACAAAAAATGGCATGTCGTATTGAATATGGATATATGTCGTGATAGCGTCAACATTCTATCAAATGACTGAAATCTGTTCCTTTAAAAACGTCTATACAGAACTGCACTCAATTTTATTTTTGTAATCACCTGCATTGTTCAATAGAAAGATTAAGAGACAAGTATTATATTAACTCCAACCGTGTATCATGGAGACACTAGCACATCCGAACAAATTCAATAGGCCTACTTTAATATTGGAGTCGTTGAGTTAGTAATGCACCTCGCACAGACTGACCAGATTTTAAATTATGAAGCAATGTCAAGATGTCTGCACGTTTTAATTAAAAGGTAGTATGCGCATGTCTGTTAGTTTTAAAATGACAGCGTTGGGAAGTTTTCGCAGAAGTGGCAATCAAAAACAGAAAATATAGAGAAAAAAATCACGGAAGGAGTCAAACTTGGGCCAGTTTGTTTCACACGAATCTGGATCAGTGATCCCAATGTTGGTTCGTCTTTCCATTACGTTGGTTCTGGTGTCATTGAACCAACATTGCGTCACTGATCCCAATCCAGATCCGCGCAGATCAAACAGGCCCATTGTGTAACGTGTGAAAAACATCTACATGTACATGTACGACAAAGCAAATGCATGTACGATCTATGCATGCCGCCAGCACAATAGATTTAACTCACAAGAGGACACGGGTTTGTCATATAAATACCCTTCTACTATGGCCATCCGAGGGCGCTCCGGCATCTTAACGGCCAAAACTGTATGTAGAAAGAGTTGCGACATGAGTATCTCAATTGTTGGAACCAAAATGGTGAATTTGCGTCGGTTTACATGGACAATTGGCACACAATAGCTGCATGCTACACTTAACACCAAATGACCGGCCATATTGGTTCCAAAGTGTGAAGTTGACCCTGCTCTCTCTATTTACAATTCAATGGCTGTATTCTACAGTCATGGAAGCTACTGGCTGGTGATTGCAACCACCTCCGATAGGCGCATGCGCTGGTTACAGCTGGTTGATTAGCACCCGGTAGTAAATATCTGGAGCGCACGGTGGAGTGTGCCAGATTTTATCGACTTGACGTCAGATGACGTGTAAACACATATAATTTTCCTTATTTGTTCCATGGAGGACATGCTCGTTTAATATATTTTTTTCATTTCCGCGGTTGACGTATTAACGCGTCGTACTTGGTTGGGTCAAAGGGCAGTTGCAAGGTTGAAGAATTTGCGGGTAAGAAAGCCCGCCCCCAGTGGCTTCTTCAGGTAAGAAAATCCGACGATAACTGGCTATCACGACTTCTATCCCAACATCACTGTAGTGCATATTTGAGCCATGGCCGAGCGATACAGCCGTCCATATAAAAGTAACGGAATAAGTGGATCACTTGTTACAGAATCTCACGTACCAAGCAGCACTAATGTGCTCCTAAATGCACGATGAAAATAGGGCAAATACCTTATAAGTAAACTGCTGTTGCGCACCAATCAAGGGTGATACTTTTCCCAACTTTGGCCACGCATACAAAGAGGAGGCAATATGTGAGGGGTCTTATTAACAGCAAACTGCTTTGCCAAGTGCAAGAGAGGTCGTACTTTCCCTAGCAACGCAGGCTCCTTTTGTAGGAACTGCACTTTGCTGGTTCACAAACGACTATGAAATGCACGCGTATCCTCAACTGCGGTAAACGTGTAAATAAGAACGTGTGGGTGCAATTTCCTCCTCAGGCCTGTTTTATGAGGGAAAAAAACTTAATATCCTGTCCTTCACGGTACGCTCGTTGGCTTGAATTGTGTTCAATCTTCAGTTTGTCTTCCTGAATAGTTATATCAGTAGAAACAAGCACCTGGTAGCATGAGGTATGCTCAATAACACGCAAAGCCTTCGTTTCAGTCATTAAATCCCGCACACTGCAGGTGATAAACATTTGTACGTATTGTACTTATTCCAGCTTCGGTTTAAGACTCGCTAACAACTAAGAGCACATGAGCATTATCCGCTGAGAATTAAACTAAAACAGAGTTCCAATAACTGTCTTCACATTGGGTTTTTGGGCCAATCAGATCTCTCCTTTTTCGTCTTTTGACAGGATAGGGCTGCACATTTAGATTGCTCACCAAAATTTACTGAAGCAAGTTGAGTAAACGGATGATGTTTTGTTGGACAGAGTGGCTTTGCAAAACGACGGGGTACTATCTTCAATGAGACACAAAAAATCATTGTTAAGTAGGAAACTCAATCATTTCCATGTTCTTAATTTGGATTTATTAATATTCGCACGAGTACAGAGACGGAGTGCAGTAGAAAGTGTGGTACATTTTGTCAAAGGAGGAATATTCTTCGGTGATATTCTGAAGGGGGAAATTTATTCCATGGAATTACTGGTAGAGAGCACACAAGACTTAAAGAGGAGAAATTGTTGTCATTCGAGTAGCCGCATACAATCAGTGATTGATACCGCGATTATCCATTGTTCCCAAATTGGTTGTTAACAAATGTCCAGTATGGCGTTTACCTGTGCACTGATTGCTTGCTCTTGGCTTCCTATTGTCCGACGGTTTCGTCAATGGAATCTTAAGCTGCGCCCTCAAGTGGCTATAATTAATGGCAAAGCGTGGAGTCCTTCAACTCACCGCGGCACACTTCAGTGAATACTTCGTCGCGCCTATGGAGCCGGGCGGCTGCGATTTCTTTGACAGCTCGTTACCTTTGAGGTGCCGGCACTTTATGGGTGGCGCAGTACCTTTACCGCATCATCTGGAGTTGCGTTTGGGTTGTGCTGTTGGGTGGGGCTTGAAGACGAAGTCAAGGGCTCACCCTGAGGCAGGAGATAAAAGAGAGCTGATTAGATCCGTTGCTTCATTCGATCAAGATCTCACCTGCTACAGAAAGCTTCCATCATAACATTTGCCTAAATCGCGTCTCCGTTTCATACTGTTATTAATCCAGTCACCGAGTGCTTTTACCGAGACATGGATTTCAAGATCGCCGCTGCTCTGAACCTATCTCCCGAGCTGGTCTGGTTCAGCCGCCAGTCTTACGAAGAGGAGTTGTCCTCGTTGTCTTCTGAGGGGCTGAGTGTCTACGGTGGTTACTTCCCAGAGATGCCGCACGACCTGGGCAGTGACGGTACTAAGTCCCCGGGACGTGACGACAGCTTTGAGGCTGACAGCATCGCAGGAGACGACTTTACCCACGCTCTCTTCGCGCAGGAGCAGCTGATGTTGAACCAAGACAGCAGTTTTGAGTTCGGTAAGTTTGGGCTCATTCGAATCTTTCACATATGTATAATGTCATAACGATTTGAACAGTCTTCCAGGCGTTTCGATGAAATAATAATTAAGCTCCGTGCCCGAGGTATTTTCGTAACAGCGATTCGATTACAGGTACAATTCTAAGATTTACTTTCCTCAAACCTTGGAAAATGTTTTTAAGAGAAATTGGAATTTTGTACTCCACCGATCTTGTTGATGTAATTCAAACCTTTGTGCTGAACATTTCTTAAGCAGCATTTTTTGTTTTTCAGGGCATTGGGGTCGTTCTCATTTAAATCCATTGAGTAGCGACGGAGTGATTAGGCCTGACCCGCGACTCCATGGATTCTTTTGTCTCATTCTCACATTATTTCTACAAATATTTCTTTCCTTGTTTTTATTCAGGTAACAGCAAGCCCGCAAGCGACCTCATTGACAGTCTGTCAGTTCCAGTTCCTACCGCCGGCACCGAGCCCTTGGCCAGCTCCCCTGCGACATCACAGGACCAGGGCCTATCCACCCAGCTGGAGATCTACTACTCCCCATCACCGTCCGCCAGCAGCAGCAGGTCCAGTTCGCCGCCGCAGCCCGAGCTGATGGTGGCTACCTCCCCGGTCCAGATAGACAGGCTCTTGGCCTCTCAAGCAAGGGAGGTTCCTGTGACCCTCTCCCGTCTGCAAGGCTCCAGAAACAGCCATCCGGTGGCCGTGGCGGCTTGGCAGAGGGAGATTCTCCGGGACTCTGTCTCCAGACACAGCAATTTTCCGAGCCGTGCTCAGCTGCGGGAGTTGGCCCAGATGACACACCTGCCTGTATCAACAGTTATGGTAAGTACATGTAGTTTTTACCTTTTCTTTGTTTTTCTCCTCTTTCCTTATTTCGCTCTCTCATTTCCCAATTCTCTTGCTTCCCTCTCTATGTTCTGCCCTGGTTCTTGTTTCCTCCTCTGCGTCTAGGACCAAGATTTAAAACACGTACTTATGATTTTTTGTTTTTCCTCCCTTTTTTGCAGTGGTGGTTTGCCGAACAGCGAAGGATCAACTTCCACCAGGCCAAGTACGGCTTCCATTTCACCGAGCCAGCTTCGCACAGAGTCAGGGCGGGACATACGCTGAAGATCACCAACCACAGTTATTGCACCAGGCACTAAATGGTTCCAGTTGACTTTTTTATCAATACAAATTCCCGGTTTTGACTGTTTTCAACTCCATATCAGGCTTTCCGGCAGGCATTCATTCTAAAAGTTCCATTCTATAATGTTGCTTTGCCGTCATGGGCACATTTGTAAATAGCCGATTTTTTCTTTTCTTAATTAAAAATATTTTATGCTAGCCGTGATTGAATTGTGATTTATTGTAATTTGCAAATTTCAAACATGGAATTCCAATGGTTTAAAATTAAAAAAAATGTAGTACATGTACATTAACTTAGTTGCTCTCCGTAGCATTTCTTTCACGTGTCGTGTGTGTTTACATTGTAATATGTGGATGGGATATCATAAGCATAACATTTATAGCGGAATTAGACTGAAGCAAATGAAAATGCCTGAAGCTCTTCAAACTGCTTTCACTGCGGGGTTTTCAAGTTCATCTTACATTCAGGAATTCATAAAAATAGGATATAAATTTCACAATGGCATCCATGGTCATGGAATGGGGTCAAACACGCACATGCACACGAAAAAATGTTGAAACGTGTACTGGACTTCAATTTGTTGGAAAGAACTCTTGTAGGATCCAGTAGCGCGCGTGGGGGGGGGGAGGGAGCAAGGCCTCGAAGGTGCATGATACTTGTACATCCGATGTGTAGACGGTTCTAGTGAAGCACTAAGTGGAACCCCCCCCCCATAGTTTCCCTGTCATTTTTACTCATTACCTGAGAAATTAGCCAAACATACCCTATTCACGTTGAGGCAATTTTGATCTTGAAGCGAATTTGTCATGAAGTTTCATTTTATTGCTTTCAATTTGTACTCTCAACAACCAAAAGTTAAGAGTAAACCTCGCTTTCAAAAACAATATAGCCGGCCCCGTGAATAAGGTCTATATCACATCTATAAAGACATGTAGCCTTTTCAGTTTAATAAAGATGCACATACACATTCCACAGGATGAATAGCGCCCCCAGTGTAATGTAGCACACGTACCACCACACCACGCATGCCTCATAATTTTCGTTGTTCCATGACTATATCAACTGTGACGAGATGCTTACCGAGTTGGAGACTCTGCATTTGAATTTTTCCCGACTGCCTCTTCTATCTTTCAACGTCAACTGGATAGCAAAGAACAATCCCAATTTTCCACTCATTATAACAAATAGAGTTGGCTTCTTGACAATCCTCAATTTTCTGAATAGTTTAGTGTTTGTCTTACGTTGACAGGAGTATATCTGTCTGTCACCTGACATGTAATACATTTAATCACGAAGTAAATTTCTACAATTTTAAAGGCTCCGATTTGCTGTCAAAATTTAGCTTATAATTTCCCAATTTATGGTAAAATTTGTTGCCATGAAATTCTGATCTTGTTTGGTTCGTGGCTATTACAACAAGGTTTTAAAAGACAAACCAACTTGCCAGTAAACAGTAATTCGCTATTAATCAGTTTTCGCTACAAATTTGAACAGTCTGGCTCGATGGCAAGTATAGTAGTTTACTGCCTGCCTTATCTGAAACGGGCGCTACTGTTTACCACTCGATGTTTCATTAAGTTTGCGGCATTTCAGACTTAATTCGCGCGACTCATTCACAGACTTCCTGGGGCTAAATCTTCTGAAGTGGCCCAAGAGCGCTTTCCAACAGTTTTGATTTCAACTGCCGACATTCACTGTGTATTTCTTGTCCCCTCCCCCACCCCTCAAAAAAAAAAGCCAAAAACAAGCAAACACATCCTCCTAAATTCTTGGGGGCGACAGGTAATTCAAAACTACATGTATTAAGAAAGAGGATTTCCCCCGAAAGCATCATTATGTGCTTTCCCAAAACTTATGTTTTGAATGATTCTCCAGTAAAAAGGGCACACCCACCCATATTTTTTTAATTAGCATGTGGCCCTCACATTTGGACAGCCAGCTATCTGTACTCTCGGGCTATAAACTTGGTGTAACAAGGGTGAACTTGTAATGGGGCCCCAGGAGTTGGGGTCGCACATATTTTCTCAAAGGAGCACCGAAAACAAACATGTACATGTAAACTGTGGCTTCGCGCACAGGTGTGCTCGATTGCTAGCGTGTTCAGATCCGTGAATGTGAGGACTGACGGCTTTCATGCACTCTCCCAGGTTCCGCTTCGGCGTTGAGTTGCAGTCTCCATACCAGCAAATGTTTGGGCAGTCATCAAGACTGCATACCCCGACCCCCTGCATTACCACGCACGGCCCATCAGCGGCGTATGCTTTTGGATTGGGGGGACGCAAAATCGAATGCTGCTTCAGGCTCATTCAACATGATGTTGGGGGGAGAAAAAAATATCAAAACCCTTACTCACAGTCCCAACATCCTTTTTTTCATGGTGTTGGCGTTGGATACGCCACTGCGGCCCATTCCAAATGACTGTAGCATTTCTAGCAAAGGATAATACACATATCTACGTTTTTTCAGCGAATGAAATTGGATCCTTGACAGTTTGGGTTCCATATTAGTATGGCGTCTGTCTTACATAATTTTAAAAAGGCACTTCTGTTTTTACAGCTTTACCGAGTAAAGTGCCACCGTCTCTGCACGTGTACATAAATTATTTAGTCTCAAAGCTTTTAAATTTGAAAAAAAATACTCTTTAAGTTTTCAATTTACTGCTAACTTGTAAGTTGTAGCCAACGTTAAATTCTCACTTTAACAAAACTGTCATTTCCTCGAAATCCCCACTCTGACTTTGTCTGAGGTGCAGGGTATTACAGCAAGCTTTCAGTAGACGAGTCAACTTGTTAGTAAACGATAATCCTTTATTGATGCCTAACAACAAACATAGTCTGTCCCGTTGATTGGTACATGTACATTATTATTAGTTTACTATCTGCCTTATCCGGTGTGAAATGGCGCTACTGTTTACTACTAGATGTTCTATTAGGTTTTGCGGCACCGCAGACTCGATTAACGATGTCCCTCTTCACAGACTTCCTGGGGCCAAATCTGTTAATTGTTAAGGGTGCAAGAGGCCTCTACTCAGCCCAGACATTTTTTTAAAATACCCCTCACCCAAAAAAGCGATGTTTGGGGACTTTTTCACTTTCTTCCCTTCGCAAAGCGTGAAGAAAGCCCCAAATGTAGCCTCGCGGTGGTTCACCAGAAAGGGCTTCAAAGCTTACACAATGAAACTGGGAAACTTTTGACCCCCAAACTTTGACTTTGGAACTCCCCTTTTTAATCAAGAGCACAAAACGTAGATTACATGATTTTACAAAGATCACAATTTCAAGGAACTGGCCATTTCGTTGTGGCTTTGGGCTGGCTATACGGATTATCATAAAAACGGGTTTGAACTTCAAGCATCTTGTGTGTGTTTTGTGAATATCATTCTCCAACGAAGGTTTCAATGTAAACCATTTTATAAAGATTCTCTAATCTTTATAAATCTTTAAAATCTTTCATTTGATTAAAGATCTCGAAAAAAGCATTCCTTATATTTTTTAAGTACATAATACAATAGACTGATTGCGCCCGCTAAGTCACGTGACCTATAGTGGGTATAAGATATCAACAAACATGGTGTCCACCAAAAGCAAAGAGTTTCTTAAGTATCATTTACCAAAAATAAAGCTATTGGTGGGTGCCGTACTCAGACTAATAATGTGGCGCATGCTTTACTAAAAATTGGCTTTAAATAACATACACTCCAAACACACTTTGCCATGGGGATGATACCCACTATAGGTCACGTGATTTAGCGGGTGCAAGGTACCCCTGGCTCAACCTCGGCTGGCCACTGATGATTGTACCACAACCCATTCTTTCTTTGTAAACATCACAGACCTTCTTAACAGCTTTTTTGGGTTTCAAATTTTCAAAGCTAAAGAGAAGACTGCAAAGAGAGCTTAGCAGCCAACCCAGATTACATCCAGCCTGGAATGAGACTGAGACCGAGGGGTACCCCCCCCCCGACATGTCCAATCGCTATACACACTCTAGACTATTGTTATCTAACACATCGTTCGAGATATCGGAAAAGAATTCCTCAGATTCCGGTGAAAAAAATGACCAACACAAAGCAGGGGGGGCTCTCAGTCTCATATCTTGCTTCATAGTGACCCATATCAGCTTGAATTTGTCGGCACACAAAGGGCGGCATTCGGCGGTCCACTCCTGAGCGCGGCACAGAGGGTTACGATTTCCAATTCGCACCTCGCTCTACCTTGGAATTCCAGGTGAGCCACGTATTGTTAGGCCCTAATTGGTGGACAGACTTGTCTTCTTAGTACAACAATAGTACGAGTAATACAATGCGTGATTGACCCGTAAAAAGGGAGGATATATATAAACCGATTTTTTGTGCGGGGGGAGGGGAAAGATTTGCAATTTTTCATATAAACTTGTTCAGCCTTTCTGAGCAGTGAGGCTACACTTGGGGCTTTTTATACTTGTTTGAAGGAAGACAAATAAAACCGACCAAAACTGTGCCTTTTTCAAAACAGGCATTTTTTTACTTTCTTCATAAATTTCTTGGTTCTTTTTTGGGGGGGCGGAGGGCTGCCATGGGGCACCGTTTCCCCCTGCATCCATCCTTGACCCATGACCGACAAAATGAAAGATGGCCGAATGGAGTATAAGTGGAGTGGTTCTCCAGTTATCTTGGAACTGGTTTAATTTCATTCATTGTCTAGTATCAAATAGAAGGCCAGGCGGATTTTTGTCTGCACCACTTATAACATTAACCCCCCCCCCAGTTTTTCACACCCACAAAACTAACAATAGGTGCCCACGATCTGACATGTACCAGTTGAAAATAAATGTAAATATTTCTGGAGCAATTCTATTTTTTTCTTTTTGCTCTGTCCCATTCCACAGTGTCTATGTTAGTAACTTACGCGCTGCTGTTCGCCTGGCACAGGTGTGGGGATACTCGAGCAACATTGATTCATCGTGTCAACACATTGAAAACACATCAGCAGATAATCCCCTATCACTTACCGTAATGCCCGATAGTGTCTGGTTCCTGTGTATTGAATAATTGCGGGTTGATTGCTGGTGCTATCTGATGTAATCGAGAGTTTAAACACCGTCTGTCACTGAATGTTGATGACGCGGCCTGACAGTTTCTACAGCTCTCTGAAGTCATTTTACCTGTTTTGTTTTGTTGAAGACTAGGTCGAAACATTTTATTGTACCAAATTAACTACACAAAGCTAAGGTTTATATTTTTAGGCAATAGAGGTTTTGAGTGTATTCCTTCAAATGGTAGAATTATGAAATGTGGCCTCAAATCCACATTAGCCGTCCAGTATGAAATGTATCACGCAAAGGGTGAGCATGATGTACTAGGATTGACGTCAAAATTGAATAAAGCAAAAACATCAAAAAGAATCCAAGAAATTTCTGGTAGTAGGATGGCCATTGTTTTTCATGGACAAGTGACTGTAGCCCTTTTTAGCTCCCTCTATCTCAGCCACGTCTCTGGGATTTTTGGGGGGGGGGGCTGGTGTTGGCGTACTTCACCTTGCCTCGGTATTGTCCGACCCAGGCCACTGCCGAGCCAGTCAACGGCCGTTCCCCCGGCTACTGTTTGGGTCCTGGCTCCTCCGTGTCTGTATCGCCAAGACCAGAGCACGATATGGGGTAAAAGTTCAAATAAACGTCGAATTAATTTCTCTTCGCAACATCTGCTTGATGTCCGCTTATCGAAGCTGGTGTTTATGAAAATGGGGATTTACAAATTAAGTTCTACGAATGAAACGCTGTATAGATAGCGTGATTAACCCAGCGTCCCCAAGGAGGAAATTAATCTTCGATATCCGATGAGGTTACCATCGTTAAATGAGAAAAAAGTCTTGATAAGGACAAAGAACAGGTTTGGTTGGCAAGGGGCGAGCGTGAGGTGTGATTTTCTGAGGTCTCCAGAGGTGCCATCAGTTAGGTCGGCCCCCCCAAAAGTGGCGCGGACGGCGTTTTGCAGTTAATTCGCCGGCACAGGAGCTCACAAAGACCCAGAGTCGCAGAAGGGGCGCGTCTCTTGGCTTTCTTCGAGTGCATTATTGTGCAATAAGTACAATCAAGATGGGAGTGGGAGTGAACGGTTGGCGCGAAGAAAGTGGGTTTATTACAATCGCTAAAGATTTTTTTTAATTTCACTCAAGTTGAGTATCCAAAAGAAGGCAAAACCCGCGATGAAAATTATCCGAAAGAAGGTCCAGGAGAGATGAAAGATTGTCTACAACGGAGGGGGGCTAGACGTGACTCACGCATTTCCCTGATTTCCCCATTGTTGCGCAGCTAACTAAGTTAATTATGCCGGTCTATTTCGATGGGGTACACACAACTTGGTTATCAGACAAATGTCCATGATCTTTTCGTACAAATTTCAAAACGCATGGGCCTACAAACCCTAAAACTTAAGCTTAAGTTTAAAGTCAGAGTTTTTAAACTCTAGGGACACCGCGTGACTGTAATTATCTGAAGTCTCATAAAGAGGATTCAGTCCCTAGCGAGAATTCCTTCTCCGCTCCATAAATATCAATAACCTTCGATGCAAGGTGCAGTAAATTGGGCAAAATGTGCATTTGCTAGTTGCGTGAATATATTTGAGCGCAACAACGCGACGCTTTGACCAAATGGGTTTGCATTTGTACGAAGCACGGGTGTTTAGGAGTACATTTCACAATTAAAAAATAAAATCAGTTTCCTAGGATTGAGTTTTAGGACTTATGACGAATAATGTAGACTTGCGTACTTGGTTGATAATGGTTTCCATGTGGTTGTCTAATACATGTAGCATCATTAAATGCATTCAGTATTCTTCCTGAAAAGACCTACCCCCCACACCCCTTTGAGCAGCGCATGGTATTCATGCAACCCCACTTCCACCAACCCCGGCGGCGCGTAACAAAAGATCCTTTTAAGGTGATACCGGGGAGTGAAGCTACCGCATCGACGCTCCCATCGGTGTGAGTGATGTGAGCCCGCGGTTGATATCACAGGGATCGGAGGTCCCACCACCACACCCCCTCCGCCTTCAGTCCCGGCAACACGGCGCATTTTGTTCCCAACATAATAACCAATAGGAAGTAAGAACCAGGGACATAGGAAACAAAGAAGAGTGCGTCTAAAGCCCCTCCATGTCAAACTTTGAGTCAAGCGAATCGAGGGGAAGGACAGAATTGAAATGTAGGTGAAAAGGATGCAAGGGGATGAAAATCATCATTTTCCTTGAAAATATCTCAGGATTAACCCCTGCTACCGTTCATCGGTATAAGTTTGCTGTTGTGTGCTTCCCCCCCCCGAAAAATCCTGGAAACGCATATGCCTGCATATGCATAAAACGCTTTACCAATCTGTAGATGAACACCAAGCCTTTTTTGGCAACGCCGTTTCTTTCAACATGACAAAAACCCCTAATGGTCACTCATCAAATTATAAGTGGTGCCCCCATCAGTTGTCTCAAGCAGCTGAAACTTAATTTGCATCTTCCGAACACGAATCGTAAACCTTTTTCTAGGTATCAAACACGAAGACGTCGTTGGTAATTAACTTACGCTAAAAAAATACAAATATATCCAGCTTTCCAGTATTCTGTTGTGTTAAAAATAACAATGCGAAATATGCTGTCCTGTGGCAGATTGGCCTGTTATTTTGTTCTTTTGCTTTTTTTTCATTGTACACATTCAACACTGGCGAAACGATTTTAAAGTGTGGGAGCAAGCGGCAAGACCCGCCCATTAGACTAAAAAGAAAATTATGAAGTTCCAAGGTACCTCCAACGGCGACACAACACGATTTTAGCAGAATCATTCCAGGGCGGTCCTTATCCCTTATAAAATTGTAAAACCAGAGGACATCCCAACAATCGCTTTATAGAAAAAAAAAACTTCAGAAAGTTCTAAGACCTCAAGACGCGCTTGATCACAGAAAGTCTTGCTGCATGACGTCAAAGAACCCGATAACTGGTGACCAATAAACAGCCCAAATTCAACGGACTGTGCCGAGCACGCAGGCGCAACTTAATCGGAAACAGAGTTTGTGGGCTCTGAGGAATTCTTCCCACGGTGGAATGAGGAAACAGTGTACTTCTGGAAAACGGCTGAAGTTCCTCTTATTTCGACTTCCCACGGGAATGGATTGATCTCAACCCGGGGACTAAGTTTTATTATGAAACATGAGTAGGACCCAGCAAGATACCGCCTCTTTGATCGTTGATGATACAGAACACGTGTCTCGCGAAGAGACACCTGCCGCAGATTCCCTGAGGTCTCTCCTGGACTCAGACGAGGCGCAGAGCCTACTCTTTGACCTAATGAGCGACGACAGGCTACTGGCTCAGGTGAGCGGGCTAACCGGCGAAGACAACGGTGGGGAGATGGGTAGGAATGCCGCTACACCCCCTAGGGGACCCTACTCGGGGAGCTCTTGCCCTCTTCCCGTGCCTAGCCTTCAGCAGTACGGCTCCGAGGTACAGGCACTCGCCAGGCAGGAGCCCCACTCACCGGTGGAGGCGAGAGCGCCGTTCACACCCACCCTGCTGCCGGCCGCGATGCGGTGGGACGCCCTGGATTTTCAGCGGCAAGCTGCCTATACACAGATCCCATCACACTATTCCCAGAAGGGTAAGCTATGTCCGTGGCTAATATTTTACATTTTTGTTGCTTTTCTAATTTTTTTTATTAAGCGGTTTTCTCTAATTGTAAAATTTGTTCAATTTTCTTTTTTTCGGGGGAGGGGGATTGGAGGGACACGAGCCTCGCTGGCCCCTCTAGATCCAACCTTGAGAATCGGTCTCCATCTCTACATCAGTGGAGAAGTTTCGTTAATTTACTGCACAACCAATGTACCTATTTAAATTAAATGCATAAGAAAAGTGCATGATGTTTTAATTTCTTCCACCTTTCAGAGTTCCCAATAATGAAATGGATTTTGATGTAGATATTTTCAAAATAAATAATGCAGTTCAGTTTAAAGCCCGAGAAATTTTGGAGCCTTTTGGAGTTTTTGCATTATTTTAGAGAGCAGATAAATGAAAAATTGTTCTTTATTATTGATAATGGTTATTTCAGGTATTTGCAAAGGTTTTAGCAGGTTTCTTTGAGCCAATTTGGGGAGGCTGGACCCTTTGCACATGACGTTCACCTTTAACTTTAGCTTCTGCTCAGTCATTTTTTTTGGGGGGGGGAGGGTGCCAGCCCCCCCGTAGAACTGCACACGTGTTTCAGATGGTACTAAAAGTTGAAACAAAAATTAATCAGGTTAAGGCTTATGCCATTTTGGGATAGGAATTAGATGTCATTACACTTGTCCAATCGTAGGCAAAATTTGACAAATCATATACTCAAAGCAGTAAATGAATAAATGCACAAGTTTTTATGAATACAAATTAGTTACAGTTACAATTTTTATTTTCATATAGATAACCATCCTTACCCAAGCGCTGTGCCGGAGATACCTCAGCAGCCTTACCAGTGCCAGATTCTGCCTTCAACCCCACCTCTGCCCCCCGTCAAGAAGGTTTTCCTTGGCAACAAGCGCCAGCCCAAGACGATTTTCACCAATGAACAGCTGGAACTGCTAGAGATGACCTTTGCCACCAGCCACTACCCCAGCTCCGTGCTTCGCACACAGTTGTCATATGTCAGCCAGCTACCAGTCAAAACAATTCAGGTATTAAATGCAACATCCCTTGACTTCTGGGGTTTGAAAATATATCAGTCACTTTTCAGATTCTCCTCCTGAATTTTTTCCGTCTTTTGAATCGGTTGAAAATCTTCATTCAAGGTGAATGACTGAATGAATGACATTAATGCAGGTGATTCACAATAGTGTGCCCCCAATAGTTTACAACGCGTTGGCCAATCACAACATGCAAAATCTGTTAACCCTTTTCAAATGCATATGGGGTCAACAGATTTGGTGCATCATGATTGGCCAATGCCATGCAAACTGCTGGAGGCGCACTAGTGTGGATTACCTGTGTTACAGGAGAATCGATCTTGTAACAAGTGTTGTAATTCTTTATTATTATGCCAACATTTTGTATTTTTTTTTTTAATTCTTTAAAAGGAGGCAGTGTTGGAGTGTTGAACAAAATAAAAGTAAAATTCCCATCAGGCAGGAAAAACTTTTAATAGATTGACCCTTCAGGGGAAGATCTAGAAATATTTCAAGGGGGGGTCAGGCCGGGGATTTATTTTTGTGGGCAAGTGGAAACAATGGTGAAACATTACACATGACTTACATTGTTTACTGTAGTATTTTTGCACTTGCTTTCATTATTTTGTTATTTTCCCCTCTTTTATTGGGGGATCTCATGGGGGGGTTGGATTTACACCTACCCTCTCTGTCTGTGCAGTGATATTGCAAAGAGTTCGTTCCACTGTTTCATTTTTTCCCAACACTGTTCTGCACTAATCTCAAGTTGATTTTATAATATTTAGGTTAGTTTCAGTTTCATTTCATTTTTTTCCACCTGGCTGATATAAATGTCTGAAGATCTACATACATGTATACTCAAACAATAGAAAGTTTGGTTGTGGACAAATATACACAGCAACTCACGGCTAAAGTTTTCTTCCAAACATCCATCAAGTGTAACTGGATAAGATTAACAACGAATGGGCCATTTCCTTTTTTTATTTGCCGATAGACCTGGTTCCAAAACCGAAGAGTCCGCTACAGGAGACGTCTTGGGAAAATCTCCAAGCAGAGAAGACAGCGTCAATCCTTGGAGGCGTCTTTTGGAGCGCTGTCCCCCGTCAAGTCACTCCCAGACTTGGGGCCAGGGAGCAACGGAGGCAGCCCTTGGCACAGTGAGTCTGCTACAGCCCAGTCATCGCCAGAGTACATGCTGGTTTTTCCTCCATCGCAGGGCGAGTCCTGTCTGCAAGCTGGTCAACTCTCTGGGCCTCAGCTGGGCTTTCAACCAAACCAGCAAGGGGTGGCGAATTATGGCTGGCAAGATCATTCCCAGCTAGCAGGCGGGTGGTTTCCTGACCGAACGACCCCCTTGTCAGACCAGTACTTGAGGACACAACAAGCAGATGCTCTACCAAGCAGATGGGTCACAACCTCTCCTGAATTTTGTAATTCTTCCAATGACAACCCGTCAACAAGAGGTTACCAGCACTTCCCTCAGAAGCACCCTGGAGACGTCCCAACACCATTGCCCAACCTGCGAATAATCTATCCAAAACCACCCCAGCCTTCAGCTGGTTCCAACCAGCAGCATCCAGTGGCATCACCCCTGGCTGCCTCTCATCACCCGCTACCACCGAGTGCCATGCTGTCCCAGTACCAACCACACCCCATCTCACCTCAACCTAACCGGTATCATCAGCCAGCCACACCCTGCATGATGCAGAGCCAGTCCAGCGTACCGTACCAATACCACACTCCCCTTCTACAGCAGGGTACCGATTCAGACTGGATGCATCCACAGTGTTCTCCCCACCCCCAGGACACTCACCATATCCCATCCCCAAACCCCACTCTTCAGAGTGGATTCCCTGGTGCTTTCCCCCAACAAGAACCTCCATCATACAATATCCGGGGCCTGCCAAACAGCCAGGGGTATCCAGAACCCAAAGCAGTTCCCAAGAATGGATTCAGCAGTGGATATCCAACAGTAGACCCAACCCTGTGCTACTATTCAGGCTCACATCATCAACTTCAGATAAACCATCCAAGCTTCTCCATCGCTCAGTCCAGGACCTCCAACCAGAGTGACTCCGACTCTTCAACTTCCATGAAGGAAAGTTCTCCCTGTCCACCAGCCAATGAGTATACCTTCACTCCCCTGAAAAATAAATCTGTCTCTCAAGGGGCACTAACTGACAAGATGCCCACAGACAAATGTTCTTCCAACCCGGCAGCACAGCCCGTCGCCCCAGGCATGGTCCCTACCTCTTCCGGTGACCCCCCACCCCCAGGCCAGCTTGTCATGCCCAAGCAGCCTACTCCAGTCAATCTGGTCCATGCATGCAACCAGCCACTGGCATCTTCAGCCGATGAGCCATCGGTATCACCGTGCTCACCGGAATCAGCCTGCAGCTTTGGATCCTGTACCACTCTCTACATAGACCTCGATGCCGAGATCGATTAAGCACACTGGTACTTGGCACCATCTAAATCGCTCACAAAATTCATCCCAGACTCCAGTTTAGCAGTGTTTAAGGTCTGAGGGAAATCTCTTTAACAAGACAAATTTTGTGAAACCAGGCACGCAACTTTTGTTATAAAGTCAGCTGATTTCTTACTGATTGTTCACTTCACCTGTATGCCATTGCAAAGTGCAACAGCGTTAAAAACTATATGCCCTGTGGGTATTTTGTGTATTTTTGGTTTGAATTCCTAGATGTAAGTCTGCCTGCAATACGCCACATTTTGTGCCATAAATACATGTACTCTATAAAAACAAACAAAACAGGAAAACACCTCTATGCAGAGGATTTACGGGTAGCCCTTTCTGTGGAATAGCAAATTTTTGGTTTTTGGTTATAACGTGTACATGACATGCATATGCCTGCAACCGAGTTTGAATATTCCTTTGCATGTTTGTTGAAATGCAGTCTGAGTACATGTACTGCCAAAGTTGCACTTTTTTGTTCACTATGAAATCATGCACTTTTGGAATCATGATTCAATCATGATTGTATAGAAAAGAAATCATGTGACTCCATTTTACGAATGCAGTTACTGCAAAAGGATCCTATGGCAACTGCATGCGTATTAAGATTTGTGATTGGCGTGGACAGGGCCAGTACGACACTGACAACCACCAATAATTAAAAGGGGTACTTTGAGCATTTGTTGACAATGTTGGAACTATGATATTGTTTCCACTTCTGTGTGATCTATAAACTCAATACATGTAGTAGGTTTTCATGAACAGTGAATGCTGAACAAGGCAAAGTTTGGTACATGTATCTGGGTGTCCGAAACTTGGCAAAATGCTGCCAATTATTCGTGGGATGCATATGACCAGACTTTGTGATTCTTAATTGTTTTGTTTTCTTTTCTAATTGTTTTTCTTTTTCTAAGTAAACTATTATGTGATAATGTTACATAATAAAAAAGTGAAAAAGAAAGGTATTTTATTTTTAGTTAAGCCATTACAGAGCAGAAAAGGGAGTATGGTCTAAGAATATACTTCTGAATTAGATGATGTCTTGGTGTTGTTTTTGTTGGAACGTTTCATTAGTTTATCAGTGACAAATTGTGATTTTTACAGATTGAAATCTTTTGAGATAGGCAGATAATGGCAGAGTTTGAAAAAAATCAAAGCACTGTGTTGGACAATTCTTGAGAAAAGTACACTCTATTACGTGGACATTGTTAAATTTTTTTTCAGTTCGAGGAAAAAGCCTCAAGTTGGTGAAAATGAAAATAAAATGACGAGCTTAGAAAAAAATTGCTTCCTTTATTGAATCGCCTTCAAATTTGTGCTAAATCATAACAGTAGACTTGTCCTCATTCTATGTATTTCATTGTTTGCCAACTTGCAGGTACATGTATCAATTTTTTATTTCCATTGGGGAAAGATTAGAAGGCCAATTCTTAATTTGCAACCAACTAGCCAATTTCCAGTGGTGTAAATCCATGCTTACATGTGAGGGGGAATGGGGATAACCAGAATGTGTCGTTAGTTCCCTATATTGTAGTCTTTTTAATACATGCCAACTCTTGGAGTGTAAAAAGACAACTCACATTTTCGATTGTTTCGGGGTTCTTTCCACAAAAATAGGATGATCAAATGGCCAAAAAGTGTGTGAGGGGAGGGGGGCCACAATCTTGACACCCCTTGGGTAATCCCCACAAGAGAAGGAAATGGCCTACATATTGAACTCTGCCGGCAAAGACATGGGATGCATTCCCCTTCTAAGTACAGATTTCAACATCTAAAAACAATTGCCCACCATCAGACATGCACAAAAAGACTACAGGCTGTAGGAATCTTGATATTGTGACCAGAATACGTCCACTTTGTGCCCATGGTATCTCATGTGGGCGATGAAACAAAGTTTTTGAAAGAGGAAAAGGTCACACCAACTCTCAAATCTCATCTGCCAATAAATGTACTCCTTTCTCAAGGTCTGCAGGGTAAAACTGAGTTTTTCTTTTAATAGTCACCTTGGTTCCATTTGGGATATAATACGATACAGCTTAGTCATGGCTCAATATAGTGTGACGACGATAGAATTCCGACAAAGAAATTGCCCTAAAGTTAAGGAAAAACAAAATGCAAATATGTTTTTTTTGCAACCGATACAAAAGCTGATGAAATAGTCTACACTCAACAATATGCCTGCCAAAAACGTTTCGGGTTGTTAAACTTTGTCGATACAAGAAAATGACTGTTGAGGAAGGATGCATGGAAAAGGTGAGGGAAAGGTGCAGTGCTTAGGACAGGGCAGCCAGTCTCTTTCAGAGACTGAGACAACAGGTACATGTGAACGAAGTGTTTCCCGACTTCAATCCCATCCTAGTACATTATATGCATCCAGCCCTTTAAACTACGCGGAAGTCCACCACAGGAAGGTTTGTCACCGAGTGCATACTGGATTTTGCACTTGATACAATGCTTGATGAGAATACAATGTCCATCTCACTCCTTGACCTCTTTCAAAATACTTCATTAAAAAAAAATTAAACTGATATCAATAAAGTTAACTTTGGATGTACTTTCAGGCAAATCGTTACCATTTGGTATTAAATGTACTGTATAAGTGAATGCACACTTGTTAGTGTTAGGTTTTTGAGATCACATATACATACACTAGTCCACCCATGGCTAAAGGACATAATGTACTTGCAAGACGTAGACCTGAGTCCAAGGCAGTCCCTACCCAGAAAGAGTCCAAACTGAACTGTACCTTTCGTCCAAGCCAAGACTTGATTCTGGACTCTGGTCAACTCTTCAGGGTCCTTACCATGGTCAATATTTGGAACTTATTGGACTTTAAAACAACTGGGCCTTCTTTTTTGCACTTTAGCTACGTCCCATCGTAATTGCCTTGAGATCATCATCCACTACCGGTTTCAAGCATTTTATCTCCGACTCCAAATTACTGGCATACCCAAATTTTTTGCCCTTGGGGGCAAATGGAGATTTTTGTCTGAAAACAATTGTTCCGATTTGTTTCATCTGTATAAAATCCATTCCAAAGAAAGGTAACAAAACCATTTCTGAAGCCTTATTGATTTCGATTCTTAAAGATGAAAAAAAGGGGGGGGGCAACACGTCACTGTGTGTAGTACATCTTGTTCCCCGCCCCCTTGCTGGATTTGCCACTCCAAAAGCTGACCTCGTATTGGACTGGCTGATGTTTACGCAGCAGAAAAATGGAACAGGATGGAACTGCTTTTGTTATTTGATGTAATATTTAGCCATCTCTCAATATAAAGAGCACTGTTGTAACAACTTCCAGAGCCACGTCTTCTGAGGGTCCCCAATCTGTGGAGTTCTTCTGTTTTCCATCGTTTGTTCAATCCCTTCATAACAAGGTCCTGAATATAACAAGGTTATTCACCTGGTCCCGGCAACCTTCTTGTAACGAAAGTTGACTGTAAAGAACACTCATCTGGCTTTGACCATAACACTACTCATCATTTCAACAAATAATTTGGCAATATACATCTTGAGCCAACTATTCTGTATATGTACAATTACACAGAAATCATATTCTCACTTCTGACTAAATAATTATCATTAAATAAACGATTACGCTGTAAAAAAGATTATACAAGCATGAGTACAATAAAAAGGGAGTGCTCAGATATACACGTTTGCAAATGTTTGGTGGATAATGGCACATTAAACTTGCATTGCTGAAATACTTTTGAGCATAAAAGACACTGACAGGATTGATAACACAAGTCGGCTTTACAAAATGGAAAGACATACAACACCTGTTCACATACTTGACAGCAAAGATACAGCGAACAGCACACTGGGGGTTTTCCAACACTCAGCTTCCATCTCCGTCTCAGGCTTTGCCTGGTTTGTTACCCCCTGTCTTTTCCTACCTCTGTGATTCAACAAAAAGCTCAATGAGTCAGATAGTGCCATTGCAGCATTAAATTATGTGTGACAGCGTCAACTACTGAAGTATTTCTGTTTAATTTGATTTTGATTTGGGGATTGATTTCAGAGGATGGAACCTGAGACAGAGAAAAAGTTCAGTACTTAAAACCACCAAAATGTTTCTGCGGTAGATATCTTGTGTGCTGCTGGGTATTTGTTAATCACATGGCAAACGTCTGCTTCAATCACAGTCATGGTGATGCCGCAAAAATCACTGCACCTGGCTCAAGGACTTTGGGTTTTCCTGCAATCCCGAACGGTCACTGTTGTCAAGTTCAAGCATCGTGACACCGATCAGGACTTTAAAAGATTATGGTTCACTCCCATCCCGGCAAAAATGGAAAACCAGTCATGTTATCCACTAGTCCCCCCCCCCAAAAATGAGTATAGTATTACGCCACACCTGAAGTACTTGGTTATGGCTTGGAATTACACACGACTCTATGGGAACCCTGTGACCACTACCATAGACTGGTGCATAAGTTCAGGCCACAGCCAAGTAATTCTTTTCCATTGCTCTTAAAAGTCCACTTCACTTCTTACCGCCGAGTCAGATACCATGTACAGATGAACATTTGATTTCTATTTACAAATCTCCAACATTCCTGTTTCTTCCATCAGTTATTCTAGCTATTGCACCTCCTTCAATCAATATTTCACAGTTAAAACTATCAGTTAACGAGCTCAATTTGGCAAAGAAGTCAGTCTTTAAACAAAGCAGTCTTTAACAAAATAAGAAAAGCAGAAAACACAAACAAAATTTATATGTACACAATGCAATTAGGATCTACAGTCAAATTGCATGAGGTATTTTTAAAAGATTTTTTTTTTATGGGAGATATTCTAGAACGGAGTTCAAAGCCAGACGCACAATCTCCATCAACATTTTGGTCAACATGATCCGAGGTGATATCAGTCCCCAACTCAACTATTAACAAGGACCTCACTAACAGCTCAAACTAGGCGCACGTTTGAAGACCCTCCATTGAACAAACAAGTATAATTTTACTTGGAAAATCATCACTTTACAGTTTTACTTCCTGTTTTATATGTAACAACATCTGTCTTTGCCTAAATTTTTTTTGCAGACAAAATGCTCCCCCTCATGTCAATCCAATGAGTGTATCTAGGTGTTATTCTTGTTTACAGTCCTTTTCATGTAGTCCTTTTCAACTTTCTCCTGTCCTGTCATGGTTAAAGATCAACTCCAACATTTACAAGATCCAAGATTTACAATGTTTAATAAACACTTGGTTTGGTAACATGCACTGAACATTAATTTTCAAACAAAGGCGGTGAATGCATGTATGTGTCAAAAACCAACGGACACTGTGTACACCTGAATTGGCAATACACAGCATGATGCATAATGTAACGAGACTTAGGGATTGTATTGTAGGACAGTGGAATTGTTGCAAGCCTGTCGTTTGAGTTACATCTTTTATAGCTTGACCATTACTTTTAATAGCTTTCAGATCCCTATCCTGTATCTCCCTACACACTCTGTCTGCCAATTCCTTGCAAGGACATGGGAGCAAAAAATGTCTACACGACGCAGTCAGTGAAGACGTTGTGTGGACTTGCCAAGCAGGGGTGAAATTGGAGGAAAATGAAATATCCAGGAAATATTACAGTCACTGGAGGTTTCAAGTGCCCTACAGGGGTGTGGGATCTATGGTATACACTTGTAGTTGCCCAAAATCCATGTTTCTGGTGTTTTCTACAAATTTTTATACCATAACAATATTTCAATGGTGAGCCAAGATTTGCCAGGTTTTGAAATAGATAGTTTGAAAAATCTCAAACTCAAGAAACTCCCGATGAAAAACTCTAAAATCAGGAAAAATCCTGACCAATCTCATTCCTGGCCCAGGTTCGCACATCTCCCCTTCTGTGAAAAAGAGGTTTAGAGGCATTTTGGGGTTGAGGTATTTGCAGCAATAGGATGAGGAATACACTCCAGGAAATTATCAACAAAAATCCAGCTGGAAACGGTGTTCATGTTACAAAGAAAACAGATATTTTCAAAGACTTTTCGTAACCACATGAAAACAAATGAATGTCCACACTGGATGCTGCGATTAAAAATGTGTGTGCGTGTGGTGTGTCCATCTCGCTCCACCCCCTTCAGTGGGCTCCTTCACCCACACCCTCACTTGTTCCTCTCAGACCGCCACTTCTCCGAGTCCTCCTTGCGGGCGTCAGGCCGCATCTGGTTGCGCACGCCGCCCAGCACGCTGGAGGTGGCCTCGGAGGCCAGGATGAGGGGCTTGATGACGGTGGGCGGGATCTGCCGCAGGATGCCGCCCACCGCCCCAGACACGCCCTTGTGCTGGTGCTCCTCCCGGGCTGCTTGCACCATAGCCAGGGCCGCGTCCTCCAGGCCCTGTTCGATTGACAAAGGAATCAGTCAGATCAATCAATAACAGAGAGGACGGTGGCATAACCGGGGTGAAATTTTTGGGAGGGGTACCCACGCTCCGACACATTTTTTTTCACAGGGGAAACGAAAGCCAATAGAAAGCGGTTTGTACACAGGGTTGTGTTCATTTTATGATTTCAAAGGGGGGCGGGACTAGGGAAGTGAAACCCATGGGGGGGGGCATGCCACAATGAAGTTACGCCACTGCATCGGGACGGTTCTAAAGAGAAGGGAGAACTGTGAGACACAGCCTAAACATTTAAAACCAAACCGTGTCACATAAACACAGAACATTCAGTATACCGTCGAACATGCATGATTAGTGGACTTCTGTCATGAGTGTTTCGAGTAATTAAAAACTCTATTAACAGTGGCATGTCAAATGCCAAATTTCCTACAAATTTGAGCTGAGTACTTCTTACACTTGGACGGAAAAGACAAGTTTAGCAACTTGGTGAAAGAAATAGATTTGGCAGAACTTGACTAAAACAACTCAACAACAAACATTCTTCATGACCCATCTAAACCCTGGATATACTTCAAGACCTACCTCAAAAAATTAAACCAAGAAGAAAACAAAAAGATGAAATTCAACATTTCACAAGACTCTGTGCAGTATTTTCAAGATGCAACGTCATACTTGAGAAGTAAAAAATACAAAATAATTAGCTGATCTGAAGATCATCTGAGTCATCAGATGATCATCTCATATCTCAGATCAGTCTCAGATCATCATCTGAGTTGCATCCATGATTAAAGAAGCTACCAACAAGAATTTTCAGTTCAGAACACACAATTACACTTAAATCCAAAATACGTGTACAATGTTGTCCATTTCTTTCTCCATAGCTGTCATCAAGTCAAATCAAAAGTTCTCCACAAGTCAATCACATGACTTCAGTAAAACTGACTCGAAACTCGTCCCGCAAAGCTAGTCGTGATTTCGTCCTACCTCTCTGACCACGTTGAACGCGTTGGCCATGCCCTCCCTGAAGTCGGCGGGTTGGCGCGCCAGCCTTGACTGGCCGAACGGTCCGTAGGTGATGGCGCGGCTGGACACGCTGGGGCCGGGAGAGACCATGTCATAGGCAGTCTCGGCTGCCGCCTGCAAGGGGAGTACAGAAACAAGGGAAGGGACTTTGTCAATCAAGGTAAGTGACTGGAGATGATCCATGCTTCATTCAGGAAAAGTATATTTACTGATCCAGTGATCACAACTGGGAGACGTGACGGAAGACGCATCAAAGTGGCCAAGGAATCGCAACTTGCTTGCAACTTCACAACATGCAAAAAGTCCCTCAAATTTAAAAGAATGTTGGTAATACCCAGCAGCTCAGTCTTTTGTGCCGAGCATGGTCTTTTGTTACAAGGCCCAACTCTTTTGTCCGGAAACGGGCTCCCCGTCTTTGTGTATTAAGTCCAGCTCTTCGAAAATGGGTCGCCTGTCAGGAAATGGTGAAGGCACAAAATTTTAACCAAGGGTGAACCTCTTTGTTAATTTTTGCCAACTGTAAGCAGTCAGCAATATAAGAACGGTCTGGTAAAGTGCATAACAAGTAGGCTTGAGGTGGGGTTGACTTAGGGCCTCTGATGGGGGCCTGTCGAAAATCTAGGCAGTGTTAACTTGCTCAAGATTTGCTCAGCAAGGCGGTACAAAATTCAATCCAATGCCAGCTGCTATGCTCTATGCATAGATTACGTATCACCTGATTGCCGTTGGCGGTACAGCTCACATTTTCAGCTAGAGTAAGAAGGTTACTACCTCAAAGATGAGAAATGTACTTGTGGCCACAATCACAATAATTGGCATGCTGAAGGCAAGTTCATGCAAAAGCTCTTCAACATGGAAATTCTCATCTCCTTTTTTCAATTCACATTAAAAGCATCGCATCTCTGAGCATCTTCAGGCACCAGGTATGGCACCTTGGGGTCACCGCTTGGACAAGCTGCTGCTCAGAGGCCCCTCACCTGGAGTAGCCTGACCATCCGGTTGGTTAGCTCCACCGCGGCCATGGCGGTGGACGTCCCGAAAGAGCTGGCCCCCCGCTGGAAGCCACGCATCAAGCGGCCGTCCTTCCTGTACTGCTCCACCGGCAGACGCACCAAGTCCACCATGCCTTGCACTGGGGATTGCAAACAGAAGACAAAACGGTATCTGCCTTAATCATTCTCGGTTTGTAAGTGCACTGTGGGAAATCCAATTTGACTCATGATTCAGATTGCATACTAAGGAACCACTCCGGCCATGTGTGACAAAATGCACTGGAATTGTACTTTGTGGACTGTTCAGGATGGTTAATAAATTACATGTTCATTTAACGTTCTTTTGTTCAATTCTTTTAGGTCCTACCAGATGTTTTGGGGGAAATAGAGACACAAAGGACTCAACTTTCATCAAGCTACGAGCCAAGAGACTGACCACTGATCAATGTGTCAGCCCTGTTCACATTTTAAGGTGCCGGTTTTTAAAACCATGTTGGATCAATCTCGAGCAGAACAAGGCTGCTTGGAAACGAGCCGGCAGCCACCTACCCAGCTGGACCAGTGAGTGCATTGGCCCCACGCCTCCAAGCAGACTAGGCAGCTGTGTCTTCTTGATGTCGTTGGCCCACTCGTTGATGGCGTAGAGTATCAACTTGTCGATACCGAGGAGCCTAGTGCGATAAAAACCCAAAATGGTTCTTGTAAAGAACACTTCCATACATAAGACACAAGTCTTTGTCCTTTCCAGGGCCGTGGCATTCTGTGTAAGCATAAACACATCTGGAGACCAATCGCCAAGAGATTGTAAAACATTATAAAACATGAATATTGCGCTGGATAATATGTGAATGTTACTGACCCATGTCTGTTGTGCAGCCTTTTCAGTGTTAGTTCCGAATGGTTGAGCTGGCCTAAGCCCATGAGCAGACCCATTAAGGTTCCCTTGGGGACAACAAAATAAGAACAGATATTTGAGAGTTTTACACACTGCAGCGTAACGAGCATCATACAGGTCACTAAAGGTCACAAAACAGGTTAGAACCAGTTTGTTCAAGAACATTAGACTTGAACCAGTCCTTACCTGTTCCATGTCAACTCTCTTGCCCTCGTAGTCCAGCTTAATTGGAACGTCGGGAGAAAACACAAATGACCTACGAGAGACAGAACAAGTTGAAGACACTGTGGTGAGCCACGATGTTTAGAGAATTCTGTTTGGCTTCAGATCTAAACAGCAAACACGGATCAGCAAGTGTCTCCTAGCGTGGTAAATGGGTCTCCTGTTTCAATACGGTCCAATCGGGAGACGTCAAAGTATCACATGACCACATGGTTTCTCCAAGATCAGCCACCACTGCAATAAACAAGCGTCTGGTTAGCAACCGTACATTGCACGTTTCAACTAAAACAACTATGTATTTGCTATCAAATGGCATAACGGTCACTACTTGTGCCTGATTGCTGGCTCTAAATGTTTCTCATAGTCTTTGCCATTTATAAAGCTTTCAAGGCTTCCCGTAGTGCCTAAATACTGTGTATGGCATTGCAGTCTTTGCCCACTACAATGGCGGATATGTGTCGAGTCGATTGGGTCAGTGACACTATGAACATCTAACAAAAGAAGTACAGTGCAATAACAATGGATGTTCATTGTGAGTGCACTGCGTTTCTTTTGCCAGATGTCCGTGGTATGAGAGAGGAACTTGTAAAAGCTACATTTTGAGGTGAAAGTCTTCCCAAAGTGTCCGAATAGGACAGTTTTCCTTCCATTTACCTAAAGAAGATTGGTGCCCCAGCACCTTGTGCGTTTGTCTCAGTGGCTACCAAGCTGGGTGCATTGTGGGCCTCTGACAATGGCTCATGTTCAGGATCCGTTTGGTCTGACCCGCCCAGTGAGTTGCCTTCAAAGCCCCGCCCATCGTACAGGTCCTCATCCTCTTCTTCCATCCCGTCGGCCAGCCAATGCTCAATGGAGGCCGGGGACAGGCTCTGGGGTCTAGAGATGGGCGTGTCCACGGGCGTGGCCACGGATGTGGTGTGGGCTTTGGTGGGACTTGTTGCATAGTGATGTAGGTGTTCTTTAGTTTCTGAAGTAGTTTACCATAAAAAGGGAAAGTTTAACACAGCTGTCACAATATGTCTCTAACTAATTTGAAAAAATCTCAGAAATACAATGTTATAACTTGAAATACAAAAGCTTGACTTGACTGACTTTGAATATATACATTGTGAAATTTCAAATTGTCAGGCCTTCGTTTATGATAATTCAAGGCAGCTTTGCATGCTGTTTTATACATGATACATTAACCTTTACTATCCAGACATTTTTGTTGATGATTTTTCTCAGTGCTTCAAAATACACCACTAAACATACATGGCCTGTTATCGGTACTGTGGACATACTACACAAGGTCTTCCCAAATCTCTGGTTGGATCTTGAAGGGATTCGGAGGATAAGGACTACCGAAGGATGGAGAGAATGCTCCCTTACCTGGTATAGGCACCCTGCCAGCATCTGCGGACACTTTGTTGAAGAAGTCATGGAGGAAAAACAAGGAATCCTGCGCAAATAAATTTTAAGCATTTATAAGAAAAAAAAAAGCCACTTTATGAAATTTTTTATCCAGGTGAGGTAAATTTCTGTCATAAATGATATCAAAGGTAACTCTAGGTTTTTATCTCAATTTCTTTGTTACAAACTGTAGTGTGCGTTGTGCCGAATTGTCTAAAATTACAGACTTCGTGCATAACCAGGCAGGGGCTGCCAAATTGACACAAGGCCTAGGCGATATCATGCCGGTGCCAAAAAGAGTACTACGCTGGCCCCAAACGGCCTGTGACATGTACAAATGGTTTGACCGTGCATGTGTTCAATCCTAGCGGAGGATGCCCGTCTCACCTGGTCTACATTCAGCCTGAGCGGTTGGAGAGAGATGCGTAGGCAGCATTCCTCAGCTGCTAGGTTGGGGTCTGGACGGATGTGTAGAGCTTTCACCAACACCTGTACAGGGGATGTACCAATCCCCATTTCCATCATTACTTTTCCATGCTGAGCTACGTATTTTCTGAGTTTTTGAAAGGTTGCTGATCTCCCAGTACAAAGCCGAATGTTTTCGATTTTTGCGGACTTGGGAAGATAACAATAAAAAAACTCTGGAACAGGTGTTGACAAGAAACATCCACTTGAACTAAGATGCAAGTAGCAATCTTGTGGTAAGAACACAAGTGGTCCCAAAAGCAAATTCGGAAAATGCAGCAGAAATGTTACTGACCCACTTAATATCGATGAAATTATTTTCATAATATATGTTCATTAATCTTGATGAGCCCTCATTCTCGACAATTATCACAATGTGACCAGATAACAAACTTCACCAACTTTTTTGCAACTAGGTTTCCGTTGTATCAGAAAAGAGCACCCCCGTTTCTGATCACGACACACCACTCAGTTTTGGCATCCAAATGGAGTCATTAAACATGGAAAAATATGGAGGGCTTACACGGACACCCATTGTGCAGGATTTGTTCTAGGGCTTGAAACGAAACAGCAACTCTGGATTTTTTTTCCCTTATTTTGTTGGTTGGGTCAAAAATGTGTGAGTACAGTTTACCATAAGATGATATTTTTACGTCACTAGGCTTCTAGGATCAAGCAGAGCGCCTCACCATGTTGGCGTGGGTTCTCCTGGGCCTGGCCTCCGACGAGTACAGGTACATGAACTTGTTGATCTGCGAGTTGGCCAGCCGATCCCGCACCTCGATGTCGCTGATCAGCAGGATCTGGCGGGATCGCTGTTGGGCCTCGTCCGGGTACTGGGAGTGCTGAAATCGCACCTGTATCACAAGGGGTCCAAGAAAAGAGATCTGTGAACCAACACCTCATGCATATGTAACCCTAAAGTTTAAATGCTTTTAAACCACTGAATTTTATTTGATCGGGAGGTGTGTGATGTAGTGGTTAATGTTTACAACTTCTGATCAGCGAGTTAGGGGTTCGAATCTAGCTGCTGGCTGCGAACGGTGGCCTCGGGCAGACAAGTTTTCCAGTGAAGATTGATAACAATGTTTGGAAATGGAGGTTGTGCACCAAAAGCACATGCATGATACATTATGTCTAGGTCACCATGTATGAACCTTCACAGTACTTCAAACAAACACTTCTCAAACAGTTATCTCTCGCAATCGAAGGCCATGGTGTAACAAGGAGATTCCAATTGAAAACTTCAAAACCAACAACCCCCCCCCAAAAAATACTCAAATCAAAAAACCAAGCAAGAGCAAGTTTACTAAATAGTCCATTGGTCTCTTCACCTTGTTCATCTGTAGTTCCATCAAGGTGGAGTGGTCTCTGCCCGGTCCCCCTCGCTCGTACCAGCTCAGCTGCTGCTGTCGTTCTTTGGTCTTCCTGGATGCTGGACTGCTAGTGTTAGATGGCATGGTCCTGTAACCGGAGGGTAATTGCATACAGCCTCATACAGTAAAGATGCCTGTGAAATTGGAACTTTTTTCTTTTAAGTTGCAGAAACCCAATTAGACACCACCAGTATTTTACGTCTACTCCGTGCAGGAATGAAAGAGGGCGTCCTTTTACAAAGCAATGATGGTCCTTAGGTGGGAACTCACTGGCCCCCACAGCTCAATGCGCAATTGGTGTGGGATGCGCAGGGCGCCCTGATCATCTCACGTTGGAACGTACACTCTTTTGAGTCTACATCGGGCACCAGGCTTGAATGATTCCCACAAACCTGCAATTTCTTTGCCGGTGAAGGGGTGGTTTCAAATCGGGCGAATGCAGGACTCTAGAGCAATGCCACGGTCACTTTACACAGGGCTTGTTGGATTGCAGCTCAGTTTAACATTTTTCACACATTCAGAGAGCTCCCGGATGAAAGGGATGGAAAGATTAAACACTTCCTGTGCCAGTTAAGAGTTACAGGCCCAGAAAAATATTTTCATCTGGAAATCAGCAGGAATATCGATGTTTTCCATCACACAACATCCTCACAGACTGGTGACAATCTGTGCAGTATATCTAAAAGGAGAACGCAGTATTCCAGTGGAAAATGATAAACATATCCTTAAGACTCATTTTGTGGGATCAGTCACATCCAGTCAAAGTGCAATGCACAAGCTCTTTGATATCTACACCGTTCTCATTTGGTGAGTTAAGAACATTTCTGCGGTCAAACATGCCAAAGCAAGCATGGCAGTTACTGTTTGTCTTCGTGCAAATCTAACGTAGGATATTTCAAAGTATAAGCACTTTCACTTTAAAACCTAGAGATTCAGGATACAAACCTGGACCTGTCTGGAGTACTTGGTCTTGCTGGACTTGAGCTTGGAACATCTGCAACAAAATGAGAGGGTTGTTCTTTCTCCTTATTTTGCCACAGACGCTGCCACATTGGCCATACACATCACGCACACCAAGTAGGTTACATCGTTTACGAGTCTCTGATGAATTGGCTGTGTGGTAAGCCATGTCACCACTTCTCGACCCAGTGGATTTTGCAGCTGAATACCACAACAGAACAAAATTGCATACACATATGGCTACATCCGGCTATATCCAAAAGTATAGGCTGCGGCTAGCCACAGCTCACAAACATATGGAAGGTGACTGCAGCCGCCAGCCAGTGGCTTTCCATAGACCTTTATCACGATGCTGCCATGTTTGTCTTGTTCCCTGTAGACCCACTGGCAATAATAATACAAATGCACATACTATTGAAAGGGAACAGACTATTATTCAGTCCAGCCTCAGTTTGGTTACATTGCTATAAGCACATGCGTTGTTTCCATCTCCTCACCAGGCACGGAGAGTTTCCTCGGCGATGCCGGCCCAAAGTCGTTGCCGCCATAGATGTGCCAGACCACAGTCATCTCCTGCAGGGTGTACTTCATGACGGCCGTGGGGAAGTGGGCGGGCGCGTTGAGTTGGTCCCCTCGGCCCAGGGGCCGTGCAAAGTGGTCCTCTTGGATGGCTATTGGGGTGTCTTCCAGGCACTGGACCTCCGGCTCACCTTGAGTGCGCTGTGAGAAAGAACAGTTGAAAGTTATTTGGTTAGAACAGCCAACCTGTAATTGTATCATGAGTGGACCATACACAGTAGTAAACTGGGGGTTAAGGATGAAAATGGGTGCAGATTGTAAGAATGTTGTACACGACGCTTCACAGACATTCACAGAGTCAACAAGTCTGAAGCCATCAACTTCACAGACAATCCACTCTCAAGTTTTAACAAGTCATCATGGGTGATCACAGACACATCTGACCTCAAGTCGCAACAAGACAGCACAAGCAGTCACAGATCATCAAGTATCATTTTTATCACAAGGCATCGCAGACATTCACAGTCTGAAGAAAGGAGTCCTTAATTGTTATTAATTAAAACTTGTGATCTCACTTGTGATTGACGAACGAGTGACTTAATTGCAACTTAAGTTGCACTTAAGAGAAATCTCAACATTTAAAAAAATCTCTAAACAGAGATTTAACAAACATCCAACTGACCAGTACACCCATGCCCGGGTCATCCAGCACACAGAACTCCTCATCGTTAAAGAAGCCATCTTCTGCCTCATCCTCGGCAGTCATCTCAAAGTGTCCAGAGACAGGCTGGGGTAGGCCATTTAGCGAGCGGTGGTGATGCGGGCTGGCCTCCAGCACTGCATCCTCTTCGTTGGCCTGGTCCTCATTGGGGAAGAGAAACAGGTCTCCGTCTCGTTTGAGGGTGCAGGCGATGTTGATGGGGGACCCTGAGGGTGAAAAAATACCCAGTTTGACCAGGTTCTGACAAACAGGCAAGAAGTCTGATCGCTCGTTAAGATGTGTGCACACCACCCGTTACACTTGAAATCTGACTTACAGCCACAATAAGAGATTCACTGGTTCACAAGTTCACTGGTATAAAGAGAAAATGGTGCGGCTAGTCCATCTCACCAGAGGGGAGACTTGGGAATGAAGAGAAACCCATGAAACATCCGGCGGAGGATTTGACTGACTATGAATATATACATAAAGAAATATTGTTGAAAGATGGAGATCTGAGGGTAAGCATTGCCAATGGTATTTATTTTGTACTGGGTTACAGGCATGGACAGTTTACACATGTCACTAGACGAGCGGAAAGAAGTTTAGATGTTTGTAAGCTTTGCCAAAATGTATTCAGTTTGTACTGGATAGCAAGGACTAGATGGATATTAGGGTAGCCTATGAGAAATATATAAGTTTCAATTTTTTTCTGCAGCAATTGTTTTGTTACATCTCTGTCTTGATGATGTTTTTCACTTTTTTGCTATGGGAAAATAAAGGCAGCAGAGAAATCTTTGAATATTGGCGGAGCAGTTTGTGGTGCCTGCAGCATCCTGTACGCTGTGGGAGGGGGGGTCGTGCGCACATGTGCATGTGCATTCATGATATCAAATGACGCTGGCTGACGTCATGGTCTGATGGAGAATGTGAGATGCCATTATGTCACCCTGTCATGTGATTGTTCTGGGCATGACAATAGTTATTATTTACAAGGTTTTGCAATGCATTTTTTCAGTTCCAGTCATACATGTGAAGGACAGGTGATTCGTTAAAAAACAATGCATACCAAAATCAACGGTGAAGTTTGAAAAATGGCACCCATGAGGCAAATGCTTGGCAGCGCAATGTGCTGCGAGTCACTCCTATTCTGTTACGTACCTTCTCCAGGTGGTGGTGACATGCCCGACCTCACGTCCCTCATGGCCTCGTCCATCAACTGCTGCATCTGATCCAGGTGATTGCCACGACCAATCGGACTGTCCGACACTGGCTGGCCATTTATCACAAATGGTTCCTGCAGTGCAACAGGTGATTTGATTAGTCTACTGGTCTCGATTTAAGTACTCAAGTTTTTGATTTCATTATAGGGACAAACCCTATGGCTGTTCTTGTTTATAGAGTGATTTCTGCCAGTCAGGGAAGGACAAGACAATATTTCTTTACTCCAATCAGCTACTGTATCTGAGGGTTCTTTTAGACCTGGTAGGACCCAACCCAGCCTACCTCCTCATCCACGTCAACCTGCTGCTGTTGATCTTTCAGCTGATCACCTCCTCTACCCTTGCTGTGCAGTGACGGGGCCTGACCTGGCTTGACCTGACCTGACCCAAACTGACCTGAAGTGACCTGAGCCAACACATCCCAAATCCGGCTTACCTCCTTATCCTTGTAAACCTTCCTGCTTTGGCTGGTTCTGTTGGTGACACCAGCAAAGTGCCATAACCTGGCCTGAACAAGTTTGACCCGACTCAACCTGACCGAACCTCAACCTACCTCACCATCCTTGTCCGCCTGCTGCTTTGGCTGGTTCTGCTGGTCACTCCAACGCCACGACCCGAACACGACCTGACCCGACCTGACACAACTCAAACTGACCTGAACCAGACCCAGCCTACCTCATCATCCACATCTGTCTGTTCTGTAGGCAGCTTCTGGTGGTCGCCCCATTGCTGCTGTGCCGGAGAGTGTTGCGGTGGGGAGTGGTCTCCGTCGCTGGCAAGATACAGGATGAGTCTGGCTAATGCCGTGCAGGAGTCTGCACAGGTGCGCAGGTGCACGATGTTATTGGACACCTTGAGGTCAATCTTGGGATTCTGAAAAGGAAAGATGATCAGCAATAAAAAAAAATCATCCAATTTCAAAGACTCGTGAAATTATTTAATAAACAACAATAAATGGCGGAAAGAATTAATCAAATAAATCTCACCAAAAGTTTGACAGGCAATTTTTCACCGTAAGATAGAATCCAGCTGAGTAAATTACGTTTTTACAAGTTCATTCTAATAGCGTTAACAGTATTTGCTTCAGGAATGATACAACAAATTTTCATCAAACTCACGACTTTAATATGTTGGGAGACTTTGGGCCAAAATTCAGAAATTAAAACAGAAAGAGGAAAAAAGAAAGCTATTACCTTTGTTTGAGAATCACTTCCCTTTTTCTAAACATTTGGAAAATTAACCAACTGAATCAGTTCATTTTTTTCACCGAGATGTATGTTGCATTGATGGGACAAATCCTGCATCAATCTCACAGAAATCTCTCTCTTTATAAATTGTTTGTACTACTGACCTTATCTTTTACGGTGCTCATTCTGAGAGCAACTTCTAACATGCCAAGATCCAGGACACAGACGTAATCTGCACAAACAGCAAAACAAAACAATGACAGAAAAAAAGTTCTGAAAATGACTCGCTAAGAAATTCCCAAACAAAACTAGGGTGAACAGTTGGTGCTTTATGCCGGTGATATTTGAGAAAATCACACCACGATGGCAAAGCCAACGAGAGGTCCTCGTTTAATAGTAATGAGTATGTTTTTGGACAACACGTGTGAAGCTTTGCATGGTACCAACACTAAGAACAACATTTGAGAAAGCTTGATGTTAAGTTTTTAAAACCAGCAAACAATCAAGGGAGGGTGGACCATGACTTACTATTTCTAATATCGACTGAACGCTCATTGCACCGATCAGATAGGAAGACTGCAGCATCATCCACGAGGAATCTAAGATAGGAAGAGGCAGTGGAAATTATGTCCATATTTGAGATCATGTCCTCAGACACTATGTCCTCAGACACTACATGTCCATCAGAGCCCAAACCCTCATACTGTGAATGCAGCAAGGCCAAATCTATATTCAGTGCTGGTTACGGTTTACACATTACTTCATTACAGATTCATATTGGAAAGACTTAATGTGACCGCGCAATGGAAACCTAAAGCTGGGAACACCACGGCTAGAGATTTTGGATGATGTCAAATCAAGGGAAAAAACTTGCTCCTTACCTAAGTAGCGACTCTTTGGCCTCGTAGACCAAGTTGCTGGATATGCTTAGGGTCTCAGCCATCACGTAGGTTCTCAAAGGGAGGTTCAGAGGTCTACGAAAGGAATCACATTAACATGAAAATTAGTGAGCAAACCTGTAATTCTCCAATCATTTAAACCTACGCCCACTCTCTTGTAAAAACAATAACTGTATCAATACGGGTCTTTTGACAAAACATCAAAGCACTTAGAATATTCCGACAACATTCTCACGCCCCTGGGCAAGATATGGCTGCCCTTGAAAGTACTCACGGTTTCATTTCTGACAGGGGAGAGGCAGTTTCTCATACTGTCCCGACCAACAGCAAGTGGACTACAATGTAACAAGCTGGATTTGAACCCACAATGCGCACAACTACCCTCGCTACCCGGTCCACAGACAGTGAGGACATAGCACTCCACATTACTGGCTACTCACGGTGCCCCCGAACAAGAGATGCAATCTTTCATCGCGACAATCCAGTTGCGGGAACCAGCTTACCTGTAGTCAATCCCGCACCCCCAGAAGTGGGCGTGGAACTCGGTGACGACGGACGGCATATCGTAGCCCAAGACCTCCTCATCAACAACATCAAAGAAATCACTCAGCTACGCCAAGTATCAAATACAGAGGAAAAAGAAAACACAGAGTTCATCACTTTCTGAAACCTCCTTGAATTCCATCAAACACTTGGGCAATGAAAATACTGAACAGGTGTCATTCGCAAATGTATACACAAGGGCCGAGGAGGTTAATTTTTCCACCCCCTTCTAATTAGTCACTCCCCCACCCATAATGTTGGTGACAAGTGCAGTTTCAGAAGGCTGAAATAATGTTACAATCCACCAATGACTGGCAGTTGCGATAGACTTTTTTCCTGTGTTGTCACAATCGTGCTGGACCACGATGTGTTGTGATGGTAATGAGTAGATAGTGATGGTAATCTATCGATTCAAGATAAACTAATCAAGCATGCAGCGTGCGCAGGTGCGCTTGCACGTGGTTGAAGCTGCCCCTAGGAATATATGCAATCACCGTGGCCACGGTGATTGCATATATTCCCTACCTGGACTTCCCTACCTGGACTAGCCAGCTATGTTCAGGCTTGGACATGTAGTGTCGTAATGTAGCCCCTCTGACGCCAACGGCACATTCAATATTCTGCAATGGTTAAATCATACAGAATCAGTGTACTGCTTCCATTGAGGGGGGGCAACCAACAAACAAGCAAAAATAAGAAAACAAAACAAAAAAAGAAAAACAAAACATACACAAAAAATAACATATTACAAAATCATCTAGTTTGGTTAAAGCAACTGTCAACAATTTTATTGACTACTCTAAACAGTACCAAAAATAGCCTCTGACAATAATCTATTGAGAATTTTATTTTCCTCAGGTAAAGGTAAACAGGTCTGTGGAAATAAAGGTAACTAATTCAATTTTTCATGAACCAAGATGAAAGAAATCTGCTTTACATATAACGTTGGTGCTAACACAGTGCTGTAAAGTATGGTACAGTCCTCAGTTTTTTCAAACCTTCAATTCAATTTCGTTTGCATGAACATGGCAAGTTTTGCGGGAAAAAAAACGGTCAGATATTGATGACATATGAGCAGTTGGCATACCAGACAAGGTCACTTTTTTTGCAACTCCACTCACTTTGATATTGGTCTCTGTGTTGAAGAACATTTTCATGGCTAGGGCGACCATGTTGGAACTGCCGGCCCCATTGCCGACACTCCCTCCAAGTTTGCTGGGGACTCCGCCGTCCGACAGGTAGATGCAGCACTGGAGATGATCAGGTGGGGCCCAGGTGGCATGTGGAAGGGGCCCAGTCTGTAAGGGCGAGTCTACTCGACCTGAGAGAGGAGGGTGAAAACAATGCAGAGGCTGTTCTTGTGTAACGAGGGGGGGAGGTAGGCTTGGTTGGTACTGTACCAGAATCGGAATCAATTCAAAAACTTGGAAACAGAAGCTGATTTAAGTCTCGTCAGGGAACATATCAGGAGCACGTGACTATTCTGAAGATGGGCCCATACCACCGTGAGTTCAGACAACAGGCAATTTCAAAAGGAAATCAGTGTTGCAATTGAGACCGTCACAAGACCAGACAGAAGATCTTTCATGAGACCGGACACGGGTAATAGGTTGAACAATGACATAGGAATGCTGTTGCAACTTGTTTGAATAGCTTGTGACTTGAAATCAGACTGAAGGCCTTAAGTAGGTGGGTAATGTTAAAGGTTCCTTTTTATTTCAACGGTGCAATATTCTCTTTAAAGGCCCTTACCTTGAATTAACTCTGGCGATAATGGACTTATTTTGTCAGATCTGTTGCATTTACACATTGCCTTAACCACTTCCTGCTGGGGCATTTATCAATGTTGATGATGCTGGGCTGGCATAATTATCATTTTTTCTGTTTTCAAAATTCTTCAAAAATTCATCATTTCATTTAACGGTCGTTTATAGCTGCACCAAGTAATCTTTAGGCACTCCTCTAACTTGACAGGTGACCTTCATTGACGCCCGAGTATTTCAGCCAGGCCTGCAGCCTTGTAAAAAGAGCCCAGATTGTGCAGTGTTATGTAACTTTCTTTTGTTCACGAACCTGGCTCAGTGCACTGCTGACCTCTTTTCAATAGGGGCCAGATTAGC